GGGAGACTGAGGAAATGCCTCCTCCTCCTTCTACAAAGTTACAATGTACACTCTGATCCCTGGGGGAGGGGAGACTAAGGGAAGGCTCCCTCCTCCTTCTACAAAGTTACAATGTACAGTCTGATCACTGGGGGAGACTGAGGAAATGCCTCCTCCTCCTTCTACAAAGTTACAATGTACGGTCTGATCACTGGGGGGGGGGAGACTGAGGAAATTCTTCCTCCTCCTTCTACAAAGTTACAATGTACAGTCTGATCACTGGGGGAGGAGACTGAGGAAATGCTTCCTCCTCCTTCTACAAAGTTACAATGTACAGTCTGATCACTGGGGGAGGGGAGACTGAGGAAATGCCTCCTCCTCCTTCTACAAAGTTACAATGTACGGTCTGATCACTGGGGGAGGGGAGACTGAGGAAATTCTTCCTCCTCCTTCTACAAAGTTACAATGTACAGTCTGATCACTGGGGGAGGGGGAGACTGAGGAAATGCTTCCTCCTCCTTCTACAAAGTTACAATGTACAGGCTGATCACTGGGGGAGGGGAGACTGAGGAAATGCTTCCTCCTCCTATAAAGTTACAATGTACAGTCTGATCACTGGGGGGGTCACCTCTAACCTTTTTTTTTTTTCCAAGGAGGAGGTGGAGACACACACCTTGTAGCAATTGTGCACACAAAGATGGATGCGGTCCTCCATCTTGCTAAGGATCCTCCATCTTGTATATCTCTCCAAATCCCCCCTCCCCCTCTGTTTAGTGACGTGATCTGTATGATGTAGAGATCACAAGCAGCAAACACATTGGGAGGGCATCATGTTTATAAACCCCAATTAGCCTGACCCCCCCCCCCCCCATGTCTGTGAGACTCTTGCTTGGAAAAGGATTGCAAAACCATAAACCAGTCCTTCGCTGGGCTTCAAAGACATGCCAGATAAGCCGTAAAACAGACACCTCATTCAAAATCTATTTTCCCCTATGATTCCATATCTTGGATTATGGAAGACTTACATAAAAACTGGGCATATATTCACACCGGTCACTTTAATACAAGTCGCCTGATATATTACACCCCCTAGCTGACATCTACAGGAGAGCAGAAAATGATATCTCCTTAACCGTCTCAGCAGGTATGTCCTATTTCATATCTAGACGTTCAGCAGATGATTCTGCATATTAATCTACTCGTGGATAGAATGTTACATGTATCCAGGGAAAGTTATTGCCCTGGTATCAACTTGGGAGGGATTTTTGGTTCTAGCTTGGGTCTCCGCCTGCAGCACCCACCCAAACGAGGCGATTGGTTCTCTGCTTCAGGGAGACACCCTGCTGAGTTCCTAGAAAAGCCAAGCTGAGTTGAAGTTGAAGAAGCTCCCTTTTAACATCGGAACCAACTTTGGGAGATGGCCCTTTTGCTCAGAGAACTTGAAAGCTGCTTAACCCAGGACTTTTGGCAAGTACTTTATCTCTCTAAACTTCTTTCTGTTATCTCTTTCCTGTGTTATTGATCTCTCTGTGTGTGTGTGTGTATATATACACACACGCTACATCTTTTCTGTAAATATTTTTATTGCACCCTTTTGACGTTTTAGTAATAAATTCTACTTTCTGAAAGTGTTGAACTGTTTCTAAAGCTCTTTAATGCAAACTAAGAATCCCTGCCTCTGAAGAGTGCTACTGTGTGTTTTAAACTTCGGTATATCGCTGCCTGTGGTGACAGTGGTATACAGACGCTTATGCAAACATCATAGTGTTATTGCTGATATCGCCGAGTTTCCCCTTTCTCTGTACAAAAAGGAGGTGGTGGCAGTGTGAAGGGTTAATTGCGTAATTAACCTGACCCAGTAACAATCGCGTCCAGGCTGCCGGTACACAGATTGTGGTCCATTAGCTGTAAAATCTTTGTGCAGGGCGCAGCTGTGCGTGGCATTGTTAAGCACGTGACAGTGCGGTTTTAGATTGGCTAGTCCTTCGGTCACGAGTTTGGTGAGAAGGTCTGGGGTCTGACGCTGCGATCGTCACACTCCTTGTCTTTAATATTGTACCTGTACGGGCAATTTATTTTTATGAATTTTTTTTGTACATTTTGAAATCATGTACATTTCTGTATTTACACTCATCATTAGGAGATTCCCTCAATGTACAGAGTGCTCTGAATGGACGAGGTGAGGGATTACGTCATGCTCTCCACCTCATCCAATCAGAGAATGCTGTGCAGTCATAGAGAAAATGCAAAGCATCCTCTGAGAGGCGCCTGTGCCCAGCGACCGAACTCCTGTGTTCACCGTGCAGCAGGGCAGCCGCTCGGTACAGGACCCAGAATCTAGTAGCTGTAGTAGCCCTGTAGTAGTGGACTAGTAGCCCTGTAGTAGTGGACTAGTAGCAGTGTAGTAGCCCTGTAGCAGTGGACTAGTAGCAGTGTAGTAGCCCTGTAGTAGTAGACTAATAGCGGTGTAGTAGCCCTGTAGTAGTGGATTAGTAGCGGTGTAGTAGCCCTGTAGTAGTGGACTAGTAATGGTGTAGTAGCCCTGTAGTAGTGGATTAGTATCGGTGTAGTAGTGTATTAGCGGTGTAGTGGGACTATTAGCGGTGTAGTGGTGGACTAGTAGCGGTGTAGTGGTGGACTAGTAGCAGTGTAGTAGTGGACTAGTAGCGGTGTAGTAGCCCTGTAGTAGTGGATTAGTAGCGGTGTAGTAGCTCTGTAGTAGTGGACTAGTAGCGGTGTAGTAGAGGACTAGTAGTGGTGTAATAGTGGACTAGTAGTGGTGTAGTAGAGGACTAGTAGCGGTGTAGTAGCCTAGTAGTGGACTAGTAGCGGTGTAGTAGCCCTGTAGTAGTGGATTAGTAGCGGTTGTAGTAGTGGACTAGTAGCTGTAGCCCTGTAGTAGTGGACTAGTAGCGGTGTGTAGTAGTAGTAGCGGTGAGGACTAGTAGTGGTGTAGTAGTGGACTAGTAGTAGTAGCCCTGTAGTAGTAAAAGCAGTGTAGTAGAGTGGGACAAGTGTAGTAGCGGTGTAGTAGCCCTGTAGTAGTGGACTAGTAGCGGTGTAGTAGCCCTGTAGTAGTGGAATAGTAGCTGTAGTAGTGATTAGTAGTAGTAGTGGACTATTAGCGGTGTAGTGGTGGTAGTAGCGGTGTAGTAGCCCTGTAGTAGTGGACTAGTAGTAGCGGTGTAGTATCCCTGTAGTAGTGGAATGTAGTAGCGGTAGTAGTAGTAGAGGACTAGTAGTGGTGTAGTAGTGACTATAGTAGTGGTGTAGTAGAGGACTAGTAGCGGTGTAGTAGCCCTGTAGTAGTGGACTAGTAGCGGTGTAGTAGCCCTGTAGTAGTGGATAGTAGCGGTGTAGTAGTGGACTAGTAGCGGTGTAGTAGCACTGTAGTAGTGGACTAGTAGCGGTGTAGTAGTGGAGTGTAGCTGTGTAGTAGTGGTAGTAGTGGACTAGTAGCGGTGTAGTAGCCCTGTAGTAGTGGACTAGTGGTGTAGTAGCGGTGTAGTAGCACTGTAGTAGTGGACTAGTAGCGGTGTAGTAGCCCTGTAGTAGTGGTAGTAGCGGTGTAGTAGGTAGTAGTGGGACTGGTAGCGGTAGTAGTGGACTGTAGCGGTGTAGTAGCCATGACTACCACAGTGATTTCCAGCTTCTAGAGGGATCCCCACTGGCATGGTATATGCATAGCATATGGTTTTTATACATACCTTCAGTTAGACCCAGTGATGTCATCACTGGGTCTCTGTGCTTCCCTATGCTGTGCCCCCACAGGACATATTTTCCACCCCTTCCTGCCAGGACAGGAAGTGATGGGAATTCCAACCATCGGGGACACATACTACAATTCGGAGAGGTCCTATCCCTTTTGTTTGGTGTTAGTTCAGTGGAGAATATTCACACGCAGACGAGAAGACGCACGTTTTAAATAAATCGCTTTTTTTATTGTGTTAACTTAATAGGTCTTTCCGGCTGTGCGCCGGTTGTCCAGCCCCCCCACCCCTCACCCGATTGGTGCCGGTGATCAGGCTGAGCCCGATCGCTTTCCATCTGTAGCAGCAGAAAACAAAGGGTTAATTTAGACTTTAATAATAATATTTACACTAATAATAAATATATATATATAAAGTCTGTCTGTACAACAAAGGCAGCTCCATGGTTGGGGGGGGGGGAGGGGAACTTAGTGCACCCAAGTCACGCTGGGCCAGGTGCGACAATGGCAGCGGTGCTGGAAGGCGGGTAAACCCGTTGCCGCCATTTTTAAATAAATATTTGTAGGGTGTGATAAAATAACGTGGAGTGTCGGGTACGGGAACTTCGGAGATGTGAGTGGTTGGGTCTGTCCATTTGTGAGGAACCGGAGACGTGAGGACAAGGTGGGCCGTAGATTTGTAATTCTTGCTCCTAGCTGTTAGGAACTTGAGGAACACGCGGTGCTGGAAGGAGGGTAAACCCGGTCCGGCATTTTGAAATAAATATTTGTAGGGTGTGATAAAATAACACGGAGTGTCGGGTACAGAAACTTCGGAGATGTGAGTGGTTGGGTCTGTCCATTTTGAGGAACCGGAGACGTGAGAACAAGGTGGGGCCGTAGATTTGTAATTCTTGCTTCTAGCTGTTAGGAACTTGAGGAACGCCATTAATGGTGGAAGGAAAAGTCTTCTGAAGTGGCGCTGAAGTTGTCGGGTTATGTGTTTAGTAAAGGTGCAAACACGGTTTAGATACCTCCAGAATCCACAAATGCCCAGCCGTTCCCTTTCCCGCCATGTCACCGGTCTGCAAGCCGAATCTTCTGTTGGTAAGGAGGCCACTTTTGGAGTGCGTAGGAATGGTGATGGTTTTGGAGCGCGGTGGGCTGCAGTCTTTGGTAGAGGTTAGGGCGACAGAGCAGTACATGTACGTTGTTATATTGTCCCAGGATTGACACAAAGGTCCTCCAAAGTGTCAAAGACGGGCCCCCCCCCGCAGAGGGTTTCCCACAGCAGCCTTCGTACAAGTTCACAACATTTTGGGAGTCCCCTCACCTAACTTGAAGCGCTGCGAGGGCCCCGTTCAGCCCTTTGGTGCCCGTGCGTCCGGCGATTTCGCACTTTGATCTTGTCCTCCAGGTGTTTCCATTTCTGGGCTTTCGCTTTTATGCTTAGAGGTGGCATCGGTCGGCCTGGGCCCTTTGCCGCCGGTACCTGAGGAGCTCCCTGGGGGCCTGGTGGGTGCGTGGCCCGGCCTTTGCGGGCCCACAGCTCCTCGCACATCTGCTCACCTTTGGAGCCTGGCTGTTGGACAAGCCGCATGAAGTCCTGGTACCACCTCATCGGTGGAACGCGATGGGGGCCAAGGGTCTCCTCTGCTCGGTAGGTGGGAATGATTTCTAGGTTAAGCTGAAGGAGGACCTGCGTGAAGCCGTGTTCTGAAGAGTGGCACAGATAGGTCCCGGCGTCACGCCTCATCACTGTGCGCAGTAGGATCCCACGATCAGTACCGATAATACGCTCATCGAACTGCACCTGAAAAGGGAACACAAGGTCACCATGTGCAAACCAACAAGGAGAAACATACAGTATATATCCTTCAGGTTGGGGACACTAAGACAAAAGTGCATTCACAGTTTTTGAAGAAACTCGGCAGTAACACCAGTGGGCCCACCACAGCTCCAAGGGGAATATGTACCCTGTCACATACCTAGGGAGGAGCCTTGAATTCTACTCAAATGCAAAAAAATTATTGTAAGAAGCTGGATCTGAACCCGGGACCTCTGCTGTGTCTGACAGCGACTCTTCTTGCTGAACACTTGAGATGCTGGACAGCTCCCTATCTGAACCCTTAGACCAGTGGCCTCCAAACTGCGGCCCTTTGCTTGCTTTTACCTGGCCCTCAGGGCATTGTTTCATCCACTTATACTAACAATGGGCCATAATTCCCCCACTGACACCACCATAGGGGCACAATTCCTTTCAATAATGACACCAACAATAGAGCCCAGTGACAAGGCAAAATTGATCCCAATGACACCAACAATGGGGCACAATTCATCCCAATGACACCGAAGAAATAAAGTCCCGACATCAGTGGAAAAAAGCCTCATAGTTGGTGGCAATGGGATTAATTCCCACCTACCGAGCAGAGGAGACTTCCTCCCATTGCCACCAACTATGAGGCTTTTTTCCACTGATGTCAGGACTTTATTTACACCTACTGGCCACAGCTCAGCCCTCCTAAAGTCTGAAGGACAGAAAACTGACCCTTTGTTTAGAAAGTTTGAAGACCCCTGCCTTACACAATCTTGTCTTGTACTGCGTTTCTCGTGAACATTGAATTCTTTGCCCCTGCCATGAACTTCCTATTTAGGCCATGCCTTTGCACTTCCTGTTTGTCAGATTATTGTCCTCTCTCCTGCCAATATCTCGCTCTTGTCCCTCCCGCTGTCATCCATATCTTCCCAGCCACTTGATACCGACCATTGGCTTGTTCCTTGACTACGCTTCTGCTTGATCCCAACCTGAAACCACTTGTTGTTGACCTTTGGCTTGTTCCTTGACTACGCTTCTGCTTGATTCCAACTGGCAACCACTTGTTGTTGACCTTTGGCTTGTTCTTCGACTACACTTCCACTTGATCCCAGCCTGAAACCACTTCATACCGACCTTTTGGCTTGTTTCTTGATTACGCTTCTGCTTGATTCCAACCTGAAACCACTTGATACCAACCTTTGGCTTGTTTCTTGACTACGTTTCTGCTTGATTCCAACCTGAAACCACTTGTTACTGACCTTTGGCTTGTTCCTTGTCTATGCTTCTGCTAGATCCCTACCAGCTATATCTGATACTGAACCTCGGCCTCCTCCTGGTGGGGCAATCCTGAGGAACCCAAACTGCTACTAAAACCCATCTCCACCATGAGGGGCTCTGGTCAATACCGGTTAGTGCTTAGACTCCGTGCCTTGGGTGAGCCCGTGTCAACCGCCAGGGTGAGCTGCCGATGTACTTTTCCTGCTGGTATCTCAACTACTGGAGCTACTTGTCTCTGAGCCTGACCGTGACATTTATACTGTGAGGTTGTCTGGCTTTTCAAAGGAGAGGAACAGTTGACAGGGTTTCTGAATGCGGTTTTGTTGTCTCAAATTTTTCTGCGCAACTTAGATTTCTTAACAGGAAGAGGAAGAACTCCTCCTTAAATTAAAGCGTTGGGTGTCTGTCAATAACAGACTAATGGACCCAGAGGTGGAAAAATGTATTTAGTGAATGCTTCATAATCTGGGACTGAAGAAGTGGCTTTAAGAAGTCACAAAACGTCTTCAAACATCCAGCTGAATGTGACCAACTGCTACTGGCTTCAGAACCAAGAACACTTTATTTGCGTCAGAAAGAATGTTGCCTTCAGCATCAAGGACTCAACTGTTTTTGTTGTGTTGAGTTCTATGGTTGACTGTGCCAGGAGGAATCTGGCCCAAAACACGGTCACTAAAAGCTTTTTGGCACCCCTTGTATGAAGTCTAAATTTTGATCTAAACACATTTCAAGGATCACTATGAATTATTTCTCTTTGGAACAGATGGCCTTTACCACTTTCGATCTGGGTTTCTTTAGCGTGCATACATACATTGTTACCTGCTTGGAAATTTTTAACCATTGAACATTGCCTTCAATGTCTAGGACTCAGCTGTTTTATTTTTTATGTTGAGTTCTACGGGTGACTGTCCTGGGAGGAACCTGGCCCAAAACATGGTCACTAAAAGGCTTTTGGCACCCCCGTCATATGAAGTCTAAATTTTCGTCTTCCCTCCTGCCCGCGCCCCCCCCCCCATCCTATCCATCACTACTAACATCACCACCATCAATCCCGCCCCGCAAGCCAAAGTCCTTGGGGTCATTCTGGACTCTAACCTCTCCTTCCAACCTCATGTCAAATCACTGACAAACACATGCAGGCTCCACCTCCGCAATATCGCCAAAATACGCACCTTCCTTACCCCAGACACCGCTAAACTACTTGTGCACTCCCTGATTATCTCACGCCTTGACTACTGCAACTCCCTCCTCACCGGCCTACCCCAGTGCAAACTCACCCCGCTTCAGACCATCCTGAACTCAGCTGCCAGACTCATCCACCTCACCAGCCGCTCCACCTCTGCCACCCCCCTCTGCCTCTCCCTCCACTGGCTCCCTATCGCCCAACGCATCAAATTCAAACTACTCACTCTGACCTACAAAGCCATTCACAACACTGCCCCTAACTACCTCACCGACCTGATTCCCAAGTACCACCCTACCCGTACCCTTCGCTCTTCACAGGACCTCCTTCTATCTTGCTCCCTGGTCTCCTCCTCACACGCACGTCTGCAAGACTTCTCCAGGTCCTCCCCCATCCTCTGGAACTCACTACCCCAATCCATCAGACTGTCACCTTCCCTCCTCACCTTCAGGCGCTCCCTGAAAACCCACCTCTTCAGGGAAGCCTACCCCACCCTCACCTAACTGCTGCTCTCCTTCATTCCTCCTACCACTCCATCCCCCACAGCCACTTCCTCCTGTACCACTACCCCCTCCCTCCCAGATTGTAAGCTCGAAAGAGTAGGGCCCTCTTACCCCTCGTGTGCTGTTCGTAGCTGCTGTAATGTTTCATGTATTGTCCCCCCCTCTATTGTACAGCGCTGAGCAAACCCTTTGGCGCTATATAAACTCAATGTAATGTAATGTAATAATGTAATTTCAAGGATGAAGGATTTTTCTTTTTAACAGTTGACCTTCACCACTTTGGTGTGGGCTTCTTTAGTGTGCATACTTGCCTTGTTACCTGCTTGAACCTTTTTTTTTACTGTTGACCGCTACCTTCATCATCTAGTACTCAACTGTCTTTTTTTTTTTCGTTGAGTTCTATGGTTGACTGTCCAAGGAGGAACCTGACACTGTCAGGGCAGGGGCCGAGGAACGGACAGGCAGGCCTAACAATGTAACGCACTGGCTGACAACAACCACCACCCACAGACCGAAGTCCCTCAGGGCGCAGAGTCTAAGTCCCAGGCTGCCCTTCACCAGGACCCCTGATGGTGGGGATGGACTTGACGCAGCCAGGAACCAGGTCGCGGCCCCTGAGACACCTCAGCTGCGGTAATGGCCGCCGCCAATGGCGTGTAGCTGGTGGAAGAGACAAAAGAGTAGTCAGACAGGCCGGGTCAACAACAACAGGACAAAACAGTACAGGACAGCAGACGAGAATCACAGGTCACGAGCCGGGTTCAGCAACAGAGGGTCAGATCAAAGGAGAATACAAAGAATAGTCAAGTCACAAGCCGAATCAGATACCAGGAGAGTCACGAGACTCAGAACAGAGTAATAGCGACACAAAGACACAAGACACAAGTGCAAAGAGCATGTGTGGACCACAGGCTTATATGTCATCAGCCACACCCCTCTGGGGGATGGACCTCAGAGACCTGAAGGCATAAAAGGATTCCCACCATGCACAGCAGAAATCCAAGATGGACGCCAGCACATGGAGTAACATAACCTCAGGGAAAAGGTAGGACCTTGACAGACACAGAAGCACAGATCGCTAAAAGCTTTTAGCCACCCTTTCGTTTGAAGTCTAAATTGTGATCCAAACACATTTTCAAGGATCACCATGAAAAATTTCTGCTTGAAACAGTTGGCCTTTACCACTTTTGGTCTGGTTCTGGTTCTTTGGGGAGCAGCCATACCTGCATTGTTACCTGCTTCAACTATTTTATACTATTGTAATTCATATCATTCTTAGCCCAGATTCACCCTACAGGAGGAGAGGACTTGACAGAGACTGCCACCCCACCCACAACTGCCACCATTTTTTTTTACTGGAAGGAGGAGGTGCTCAAATGCTGGCCTACAACCATACAGAAGAGTGCCTGACCAAAACGGAAGGATCCAAGAAAATTATAATTTTTGGTAAAAATAGTGTTTTGGGGACTACACCACCCCACCCCTTCATCAAGGCTCAACACAGGATAAAGCTTGGTTGAACAGTAACTTCACAGATCTGTATTAGAACCATTGCAGAACTTTCCTCATGGAGTAACAATTTACTTTTTTACGAGCAATTAAAATGATCTTGGGCTCCTGCCTCCTGTCTTGGGCTGGTGCTCCTTTCTGTATATCTATGGTTTGAGCTGCTGTTGGGTGCCCATCAAAGGAGGCCTTTTGTGTGTGGGAGCAACCTCAATATTGAGTTTGTTTGAAGTTTTCCTTCATCTGACTCCAAGTCTCAAAGTTCCCAGCACCTCTTTGAGTCAAATGTTGACCTAGGTTCCCATATAATCTCAACCTGGCTCTGCTCTAGAGTGCACCCGTCCCTGAGGTCCTGCACTAGATGAGGTCTCAGGTCACCTACAGCCTGAGCTAGGGATTGCATCTCTTACCTCTTTCCTGGGTGTCTCTGGAGACTTCTGATGAGTCCATGTGACCCGGGCGCGCAGGGATTTGGGGAGACACTCTAGGAATGCTGTACTTCCCTCAACTCCAAACAGGCGCTTCTCCTGAACAGTCACTCTCTGCTGCTCTGTATGGAAAGAGATGAAACTTTATGTACTGATGTCCACACACAAGAGATGGGGGTCCCGGAGCCCCAGAACTACAAGTCCCAGTAGGTGAACCACCACCCATCATTAGTTTCCTGGTCCAGTGAACACATGATCATATCCCATTAGCAGGTAGGGCTATGCAGGGGCGGACTGACCATTCGGGAACTCGGGCACTGCCCGAGGGCCTAGGGTCAGTAGGGGGTCCCATGAGATGCCCCTAGTACCTTTCATAGGCTTTTTTTGGTGTGGTTTGAGTGTGGGTGAGGACACAGGGGCCCCATGATCCCCTATTGAGCAGGGGCCCCATGAGTTGTCAGTCCACCTATGGTGCTATGTTTATTATCTGTTATTTTACTTTTTTTTTTTATAATTTATTGGTATTGCTTTCATTTAAAGGGAAGATCCTAAGTGGACACTCACCTCCTGAACACAGACTGCTGGGGTCACCATTTCTCACATCCTGCCGACGAGACCTCCTGGAGGAAGAGGACAGAATCAGCACACCGAAGAAGAGAAGACAGACTGATCGTGAAGAAGTCCACAAAACAGTATGTGCACCACGTACAGACATATATGTGGAAGTAAAATATTCAATCTGCCTTTTTGTGCTATCAGTCAACACAGTGTATAGGAGGGACATAGACATAATAGTGTGGATGGCACGTTAGCTTCTCCTTGTGTGCAAGAAAAGGAGGTGAAGGTCATGTTGGGCATCCCTTTAGACATGCATGCTTCTCCCTGCTGGGTGGTACACACTTTATTTGTGTAATCTATTGATCAGACCTAATAGAGTTATCAAGCAACTGATCAGCAGATTGCACAGGTAAAGTCTGAGCATGCACGTCCTAAAGTGGTTCTAAAGCAGCAATGGGCAAACTACGGCCCGCGGGCCGTATACGGCCCGGCGGACCTTTTAATCCGGCTCGCGGAGCTAGGCTCCCGCTAGGCTCCTCTCACAGTCCGCCCTGAAGACCGGTGTAGCATGAAAATCTGTCTCCTATGAGGATCTGTCCCCCTCGACGTATCTGCGCATGTGCCGGAGATCGCCGATCGGCTGCTAATGCCTGAAACTGGCACATGCGCAGATACGTTGAGGGGGACAGATCCTCATAGGAGACAGATTTTCATGCTACACTGGAACGGCGCGGGAATATGGCGAGAGGAACGCGCGGAGCAAAGGTAAGTGAATTGACACAGGGGGGACTTAATATGGGGGATGAATTAATATGGGGAATGAATTACTATATGGGGGATGAATTACTATGGGGGATGAATTACTATGGGGGGGATGAATTACTATATGGGGGATGAATTACTATGGGGGATGAATTACTATATGGGGGATGAATTACTATGGGGATGATGAATTACTATATGGGGGATAAATTACTATGGGGGATGAATTACTATGGGGGATGAATTACTATGGGGGATGAATTACTATACTATACACATCATTCATCTACTCTTGGTCCGGCCCCCGGGTCTAATATATGAACCCATTGCGGCCCTCAAGTCAAAAAGTTTGCCCACCCCTGTTCTAAAGGCTCAAGGTTTTTTACCTTCACCCGAAGAAGAGGATCTGGGCTGCTCTGTGCAAAACCAGTGCACAGAGCAGGTAAGTATGACATGTTTGTTATTTAAAAGAAAAAACAAAAAACTTTAGTATCACTTTAAGGGATGCTAGGGATGTGTTCTTCCATATAATGCTCAGTAACAGCAGAACAGTGACTGACGCATGATGAAAAGAAAAAAAAAATCCCTTTAGACATGCATGTTTCTCCCTGATGGGCACTGGGTGGTACAGACTTTGTCTGTGCAATCTACTGATCAGATCTAATTGAGCAATCATGCAACTGATCAACAGATTACACAGCTAAAGTCTGAGCATGCACGTCTTAAGGGATGCTGGGCATGGGGTCTTTCATATAATGCTCTGGATCAGCAGAGCAGTGACTGACACACATGACTAAGAGAAGAAAAATCTCTTTAGACATGCATGTTTCTCCCTGCTGGGCAGTACATATTTTAGTTGTGTAATTTACTGATCAGATCTAATAGAGTAATCAAGCAACTGATCAGCAGATTGCTCATAAAGTCAGCCTGCACATCTTAAGGGATGCCAGGGATGTGATCTTCCATATAATGCTCAGGAACAGCAGAACATTGACAAAAAGAAAAAAAATCCCTTGAAAACATGCATGGTTCTTCCTGCTGGGAGGTACAGACTTTGTCTGTGCAATCTACTGATCAGATCTAATAGAGTAATCAAGCAACTGTTCAGCAGATTGCACAGGAAATTAAGGTGGGCAGAAGATAGATGCTTTAACTTTCCAAGGATTATATTGTGGAGATGCAGGTTTGCAGGGAATTGAGAGTAGTCAGTTTCAGCATGTGTGGGAAATGCTGGAGTTCAGCTTTAAAACAATATTTCACAATTTTATGCTTTTATATTTTTTTTTGTTGAATGATAGAAACCAAGGTTTAACTCTCCAATAGACTAAGTACAGTAGCTCAAGAGTCAGCCACAAAGGACTGCTCTTTACACACTATGTTCCTACAGAATTCAGGAAGCAGTCAGTCTGGCCCCCAGGCACCCTTGGCCTTCCTTGATAATGACAGAACTACACTGGAGAACCACTTGCCAGCCGTGCTATGGCTGAATGATGGCTACAGTGCGCTTGCCCAGTTCTGGGAGGGTGTCATATGATGTCCTCCCAGAACATGCCCTCACCCGCGCCCCCAGCGGCACACACCCGGTGATCTCCTACGGACACAGCTGATCATGTGATGTGGTAAAAAGGCCAATCGCAGCAGCCAATCACACCAGTCCAATGACACAGCAGATCACCAGGTATATGCAGTTGCCGGTTATTGGCTGCACTTTCATCACCCTGTCAGTGTGAGGAAAGAACTGCCGAGAACCGGCAATTGTCAGCAGTGCCGCCAGTCAGTGCCACCTATCCGTGCCCATCAGTGCTGCCTATCCATGCCACCTATCCGTGCCCATCAGTGCTGCCTATCAGTAGCCCATCAGTGCTGCCTAGCCGTGCCACCTCATCAGTGCTGCCTATCAGTAGCCCATCAGTGCTGCCTATCCGTGCCACCTCATCAGTGCTGCCTATTCGTGCCACCTCATCAGTGCCCATCAGTGCTGCCTATCAATGCCACCTGTGTCCATCACTGCTGCCTATCTGTGCCACCTCATCAGTGCCCATCAGTGCTGCCTATCCATGCCACCTCATCAGTGCCCATCAGTGCTGCCTATCAATGCCACCTATCCGTTCCCATCAGTGCCACCTATGTGTGTCCATCAGTGCAGCCTCATCAATGCACATCAGTGAAGGAGAAAAATTACCAGTTTGCAAAATGTTATAATAGAAACAAAGAAAACTTTTTTTTTTTTTAATTTTTGCTCTTTTTTGTTTATAGCGCAAAAAATAAAACCCATAAATACCCGTAAATACCACCAAAAGAAAGCTCTATTTGTTCGAAAAAAAAATGCTAAAAATTTCATATGAGTACAGTGTTGCATGACCGTGCAATTGTCATTGAAAGTGTGACAGCGCTGAAAGCTGAAAATTTGGCCCTGGGCAGGAAGGGGGTGACAGTGCCCGGTAGGCAGGGGGTAAAGGGGCACTCTGCTGGAAGCTGGTGAGACCCAGAGACTGGATACGTCATGATTGTGGGACGGTGTCACTCACCTCTTTGTATTAGGTAGGTACCGGGTACAGCTGTTCCCATCCCAGGCACAGTAGGGATCCCGAGCCAGGCAGCACTCTGCGCAGGCCTTCCCGTAGATACCGCAACGATGCAGAGGCACCTGGGAAACGCCGACCGCCGAGCCCACGTATAGTTGTTGCTGGGGAGACAGCAAACACAAGCGTCAGATGGAAGACGGTCAATATTGACATCAGCAAACACTCTGTCCTGCTTACCCGCTTCGATGAGAGCTGCATGCTGGTGATCGCCGAGCCGTTCTGTGAATGGAAGGAAGAAAAACATCACATGTAGGACAAGAAAATCTACGAACTCAATACGTAACACTGGACTGCTTTCTTGGCTCAAAATGTCACTATTCTCTAAACCAGTGATCTCCAAACTGCGGCCCGGGGGCCGGATGTGGCCCTTTGATTGTCCTTATCTGGCCCTTGGGGCACCATTCCTCCAACTGACACCGACATTGGGACATGCAATGCCTTGAAAAAGTCTTCATCCCCCTTGAAATGTCCCCCATGTTGTCATGTTACAATGTATCCCCCCATGAAATGTCCCTCATGTTGTCATGTTGTCAGTGGGAATACATTGTAACATGTATTCCCCCTCCCCCCACTGAAATGCCCCCCATGTTGTCATGTCACAATGTATTCCCCCTCCCCCTCAAAATGTCCCCCATGTTACAATGTATTCCCCCCCCCCGAAATGTCCCCCATGTTGTCATGTTACAATGTATCCCCCCTCCCCCCTGAAATGTCCCCCATGTTGTCATGTTACAATGCATGCTAAAATTTATTCCCCCCTACGAAATGTCTCACAAAGAAATGATCGGTCTAAAAATCAAATGTTTGGTGTATTGTAACACTGAGAGACAGAATAGCAACAAAAAATTCAAAAGAAATGCGTCTAACAAATGATCTCCAGGCAGCTGGGACCACAGTCACCAAGAAAACAATTGGTAACACACTACGCAGACAAGGACTGAAATCCTGCAGTGCCCGCAAGGTCCCTCTGCTCAACAAAGCACATGTCCAGGCCCGTCTGAAGTCTGCCACTGAACATCTGAATGATGCCGAGGAGGACTGGTGGGAAGTGTTGTGGTCAGACGAGACCAAAATCCAGCTCTTTGGCATCAACTCAACTCGCCATGTTTGGAGGAGGAGGAATGCTGCCTATGACCCCAAGAACACCATCCCAACTGTGAAACGTGGTGGAGGAAACATTCTGCTTTGGGGGTGTTTTTCTGATAAGGGGACAGGACAACTGCACCACATCAAAGGGACGATGGACGGGGCAATGTACCATCAAATCTTGGATGAGAACCTTCTTCCCTCAGCCAGGGCATTGAAAATGGGTGGTGGATGGGTGTTCCAGCATGACAATGACCCAAAACACACGGCCAAGGCAACAAAGGAGCGGCTCAAGAAGAAGCACATTAAGGTCCTGGAGTGGCCTAGCCAGTCTCCAAACCTTCATCCGATGGAAAATCTGTGGAGGGAGCTGAAAGTTCGAGTTGCCAAACGTCAGCCACCAAACCTTAATGACTTGGAGAGGATCTGCCAAGAGGAGTGGGCCAAAATCCCTTCTGAGATGTGTGCGAACCTGGTGGCCAACTACAGGAAACGTCTGACCTCTGTGATTGCCAAGAAGGGATTTGCCACCAAGTACTAAGTCATGTTTTGTGAAGGGGATCAAATCCTTCTTTCCCTCATGAACATGCAGATCAGTCATCATTTGTTAGACGCATTTCTGCTGAATTTGTTGTTGTATTCTGTCTCTCAGTGTTACAATACACCGAACATTCGATGTTTAGACCGATCATTTCTTTGTGAGGGGCGAACATTCAACATCAGCCGGGGAGCAAATACACATTTCCTTCACTATATCTGGGTTTAGTTACCTTGAAGACTTGCAGCTCCTCCAGGACCAGCTCCTCCCGGTGATGCCAGCTGTGTTTGGGCACCGATATGACCTTCAGCACCGAGCCAACATCTGGGGGGGACAGAAGGAGTGCAATCAGGACCTCTGAGCATTGCACACACAATATGCAAGGACTGGCTGCAGTGTAAAGTCGGGGTACCTGTTCCAATGAACATGACGTCATACTCTCCATCAGCGGCCGTCACCCTGTCTACGGTCAGCTGGGTTAGGGTGACCCCATTGTGACTGCGGAGGAAGATTGGCCTTCCGGATCCGGGCACCACTGGGTTGAACATGAGCGGGTGGTTGCGGGCAAACTGCAGGACGTCATCCGGAAAGCTTTTGGTGGAATCAAAACTTCCAAATGTTTTACTGGGACACTAGAGGAGGGAAAGAGAAGAAGTAGCTCAGAACACAGTGGGAGGAGGGGAAGAGAGAGAGAGAAGTAGCTCAGGACACAGTGGGGGAGGGGAAGAGAGAGAGAGAGAGAGAGAGAGAGAGAGAGAGAGAGAGAAGAGGTAGCTCAGGACACAGTGGGAGGAGGGGAAGAGAGAGAGAGAGAGAGAGAGAGAAGAGGTAGCTCAGGACACAGTGGGAGGAGGGGGGAGAGAGAGAGAAGAAGAAGAAGCTCAGGACACAGTGGGAGGAGGGGAAGAGAGAGAGAAGAAGTAGCTCAGGACGCAGTGGGAGAAGGGGGAGAGAGAAGTAGCTCAGGACACAGTGGGAGGAGGGGGAGAGAGAAGTAGCTCAGGACACAGTGGGAGGAGGGGGAGAGAGAGAAGTAGTAGCTCGGGGGATTTACTAAAACTGGAGCACTAAATCTGGTGCAGCTGTGCATGGGAGCCAATCAGCTTTTGGTGGAATCAAAACTTCCAAATGTTTTACTGGGACACTAGAGGAGGGAGAGAGAAGAAGTAACTCAGAACACAGTGGGAGGAGGGGAAGAGAGAGAGAAGTAGTAGCTCAGGACACAGTGGGAGGAGGGGGGAGAGAGAGAGTAGTAGCTCAGGACACAGTGGGAGGAGAGAGAGAGAAGTAGTAGCTCAGGACACAGTGTGGAGGGGAGGGGGGAGAGAGAGAGAGCAGAAGTAGTAGCTCAGGACACAGTGGGGGAGGAGGGGGAGAGAGAGAGAAGTAGCTCAGGACACAGTGGGAGGAGGGGGAGAGAGAGAGAAGAAGAAGCTCAGGACACAGTGGGAGGAGGGGGAGAGAGAGAGAAGTAGCTCAGGACACAGTGGGAGGAGGGAGAGAGAGAGAGAAGAAGAAGCTCAGGACACAGTGGGAGGAGGGGAGGAGAGAGAGAGCAGAAGTAGAGCTCAGGACACAGTGGGAGGAGGGGGGAGAGAGAGAGCAGAAGTAGTAGCTCAGGACACAGTGGGAGGAGGGGGAGAGAGAGAGAGAAGTAGTAGCTCAGGACACAGTGGGAGGAGGGGGAGAGAGAGAGCAGAAGTAGCTCATTTGGGAGGAGGGGGGGAGAGAGAGAGAAGTAGCTCAGGACACAGTGGGAGGAGGGGGAGAGAGAGAGAAGTAGCTCAGGACACAGTGGGGGTAGGGGGATTTACTAAAACTGGAGCACTGAATCTGGTGCAGCTGTGCATGGGAGCCAATCAGCTTCTAGCTTCAGCTTGCTCAGTTGCACTCCAGTCACAGCGGGTGTGGCTTGCTATGCGATTTGCCAAGCCATGCGAGTTGCACAATCGCATGACAAGTTGCACCCTATTGTCTGCAATTAAAGCGGTCATATGGGCTGTACAGGGGCTAAATGGTTAGCACTCCCGCCTGGCAGTACTCGGGTCATTGGTTCGAATCCCAACCACAGCACCACCTGCCTGGAGTTTGCATGTTCTCCATGTGCCTGTTAGAATACACTGGGGAGGGGGGGGGGGGGGGGGGAGAGAATACGATGGAGGGTGGCATATGGGGGGGGGGGGGGGAGAGAATATGAGCAGCACAGTGGCTAAGGGGTTACTACTTCCACCCGGTAGTATTAAGGTCGTCGGTTTGAATCCCAACCACGGCACCACCTGCCTGGAGTTTGCATGTTCTCTCTGTGCCTGCGTGGGTTTCCGATTTCCTCCCACCCTCCAAAGACATGCTGGTGAATTGGCTCCTGTCTAAGTTGTCCCTAGTATGTGTATGTATGAATGTGAGTTAGGGACCTTAGATTGTATGCTCCTCGGGGGCGGGGACTGATGTGAATGTACAATTTATATGTAAAGCGCGGCGTAAATTGATGGCGCTATACAAGTACCTGAAACAAATATCAATGCGATTCCAACTTGGTCGGAGCTGCACCGATTTCTAAAGTAGTGCACGCGCTACTTCAGGTGCGACGTGCATAGATATCTAGGTAGATGTCTTGCAAGTCGCACCTCAAGTCGGAATGACATCCAACTTTGAAATTGCACGTCTTCACTGGAAGTCGCACGATTTCAGAGCCGGATCGGTGTGAATTCCTCACGCACACGAGACGTTTTTACAGCGGCTGTTTTTGGCTTTTGACATTTTTTTTTCTACAGCCAGTAACCCCCCAGCATGTTATCCTATGTGTCCATACACAACGTATATGGACATTAACATTTTTTGGCTGGAAAAACCCAGGACTAGTGGATTTCTAGAGGAGTTTTTTTAGCTGTAAAAAACATGGTAAAACGCGGTAAATCACAGTAAACCAGTATTTTTGGATGTTTTCTTGACCAAAAAAAATTAAATTCTTTTTGGTAAAAAAAAACCTCAAAAAAATGCAAACGCGACAAAATGTGGGAAAACTGTAAAAAAACGCTGAGAAACTGATGTTTTTAAGCCCCCCCCTGGCGGTAAATCAGCACCACGAGTGTACCCCCCCTCGGGAATACACTGCAGCGTTGCTCCGGGATCTCTTCTTCACTTTACCTTGTCCTGCGCTCCCGCGATGTCCCCCCTGCAGCATCCCCGGCCAATCTCCTCCGGCCGATGCCGGCATCTGTCTTCTGGGTTCCGTCCCCTGCGACGTCGGGACGTACGGGGGACGGAACTGGCGGCAAATTTAAAAATGTCAAAAAGTGACATTCACTAAATCCACTAAAATCACATAGGATAACATTCCTGTATCAAACCATTTCACATACATTTTGTCCCGAGTGCTTTGTCCGGCGCCCTGCCTGCATTTTTACTGTTCTTTCTGCCTGGAAACTGAAGAGAAACGTCCATGGCGTCCAAAAAGCGTCCCTTTAGGTCAAAAGCGGTTTTAGACCGGCTAGAGAACAGCGATAGTAAATCAGAACACTTGCAGAATTGAGTGATAATGATTGGTGGGGGAAATTCCTCATCAGACACTGAAAACGATTCTGCGACTGAGCTCAGCGATGTGCGAACTTGGCGCTCTATTTCACATTTCAGTGTTTTTGGTTTGATTATATTATTGAATTAAATTTATTATTATTATTATTATTTTTTATGATTATTTATTAAATTATAATTTATGATTTCGCGTTTCAAATTTTTATCCTCCCCGGGATGTTTACTAGACTCTTGTTCGGACAGATTTCAGGAGTTATTTCTAAAAATTACAGCCTACAATAAAAAAAACGACATTTCCATGCAAAAAAATGTACCGCTTTGAGCACAGAAATACTGACATAATCAGACCGCTAGGGAGGTTAACGTGACTTTACACATGTCCCTGTGTGCATGGAGACTTTGACAATAAAACCTGGAAGCTGATTGGTTTCTATGCAGAGCTGCACCAGGTTTTCCACTCTCTGGTTTTAGTAAATAACCCCCCAGTAAGTCACTATCATAATACACGATGATGTCCAATCACCAAATACACATCCAATAATTGTTTACCCAACAGAGCTTACAATCTATCAATAAAGGGAAAGTCAGACCCCCCCAGCATCTCATGACTCACCATGCCAGGCCGGGGGTATGGCACTCTACCCTGTAGGACACCCACTGGTAGTTGGGCCCCTCCTTGTGAGCAAAGGGCCCCAGGAAGGCTCTGCGGACGTCATTCATGGTGTAGACGCAAATCGCGGAGCCACGGAACACCGAGCTAAGGAAAGAACGTGGAAAATAAATTGGTTTTAGGCGACTTCCACATTCAGAGCAATATGCAGCAACTTTGTATCATTTTCCAGTATTCCCATATCATACATTTCCTTTATTATTATTATTATTATTATTATTATACAGGATTTATGGCGCCAACAGTTTGCTCAGCACTTTACAATAGAATAAAGGGAGACAACACAGCAACAATACAGTTCAATACAAGAGGGATAGGAGGTCCTGATCCTGAGAGCTTACAATCTAAGAGACATTGACATTGAATGAAAGGAAAAGCACACTTGACACCCAAAAAGCAAAACATGGTGTGCAAAGTGCAGTAGCCAATAGCAACTAAAGCTGGCCATACGTTTTGGTGTTTTTTTTTTATTCGGCTGACAGAATGCCGGAACAGTGGCTGCATCTGATTGGACGCAGCTGCACTTTGGACGACAATTTTCATAGGAAGTACATAGGGCTGGAGGAGGCTGTCAGGGCCGCTAATTAAGAACATTTTGGGCAGTTTATTAAAAAATGACCAAAATTCAAACAGTATATGGCCGGCCCAATGAAATGTAAGATGACAGTTACCAGCCAGTGAGATAATGATCGTTCACCTGGAGGTGGAGAAGAGAGCGTAGATGAGAGGATTCCTTCTGTCTCTGGTCTGCAACAGGAAAACATCACCTACAGAATGGAAAGAGAAGGAGAGAGAAGAGGGGAAAGAGAGGAGACAAGAGATAGAAAGAAGGGGTGACGGAGAGAAGAAGATGGAGAGGGAAAGAAGAGGAGGAAAAAAAAAAAAAAGAAGAGTGAGAAGAAGAGAGAGAGAGAGAGAGAGGAGAAGAGGACATAAAGGAAAAGAGAAAGAGGAGGAAAAGAGAGAGGAGAGTGAGAAAAAGAGAGAAGAGAAGAAAGAGAAAAGAGAAGCGAGAAAAGAAAATGAGGAGAGAGAGGAGAGGAAAAGAGAAGGAAAAGAGACAGGAGAAGAGAGAGAAAAAGAGAAGTGAGAGGAGAGAGAGGAACAGAGGAAAAGAGAAGAAAATAAGAGGAGAGAGGGGAAAGAAAGAAAAGGATAGAGGAAAAGAGAAGAGAGAGAGGAAAAGAGAGGAATAAGAGAAGAGGAGGAAAAAAGAGAGAAAAGTGGATAGAGAGGAAATGAGAAGAAAGCAGAAGAGAGGAAAGGGAGGGAGAGAGAGAGAGAAGAAAGAAAAAAAAGAGAAAAGAGAGAGAGAGAGAGAAGAGAGTAGAGAAAGGAGAAGAGAGAAGAGAAGAGGGAAAGAGAGAGGAGAGGAGAGTGAGCAAAAGAGAGATGAGAAGACAGAGAAAAGGGAAGTGAGAGAAGAAAAACGAAGAGAGAGAGAGGAGGAGAAGAAGAAGAGAAAGAGGAGAAGAGAGAGGGAAACAGACAGGAGAGGAGAGAGAAAAGAGAAGTAAGAGGAGAGAGGAAAAAGAGAATAAGAAGAGGAGAGAGGGGAAAGAGAGAAAAGGATAGAGAGGAAAAGAGAGAAAAGAGGAGAGAGAGGAGAAAATGACAGAAAGGAAAAGAGAAAGAAGAGAAGAGGGAAAAGAGAGCGGAGAGAGGAAAAGAGATAAGAGAAGTGAGAGCAGAAAACGAGGGAGAGAGAGAGGAGAACAGAGAAGAGAAAAGGAAAAGAGACAGGAGAAGAGAGAGAGAAAAAGAGAAGAGAAAAGGGAAAACAGACAGGAGAGAGGAGAGAGAGAAAAGAAGTGAGAGGAGAGAGAGAAAAAGAGAGAAAAGAGGATGGAGGAAAAGAGAAGAGAGAGAGGAAAAGGAGAGAGAATAAGAAGAGGAGAGAGAGAGGAGAAGAGGACATAAAGAAAAAGAAGAGAAGAGGGAAAAGGAAAAGAGAGAAGAGAAGAAAGAGAAAAGAGAAGCAAGAGAAGAAAACGAGGAGAGAGAGAGGAAAAGAGAGAGGAGAACAGAGAAGGGAAAAGGAAAAGGAGACCAGAGAAGGGAAAAGGAAAAGGAGACAGGGGAAGAGAGAGAGAAAAGAGAAGTGAGAGGAGAGGGAGGAAAGAGAAGAGAAGAAGAGGAGAGAAGGGAAAGGGAGAAAAGGATAGAGGAAAAGAGAGAAAGGAGAAGAGAAGAGAGAGGAAAAGAAAGTGAAGAGAAGAGTAAGAAGAAGAAGAAGAGGAGGAAAGAAGAAGAAGAAGAAGAGGAGGAAAGAAGAGAGACGTGGATAGAGAGGAAATGAGAAGAGAAGAAAGCAGAATAGAGGAGAGGGAGGGAGAGAGAGGAGAGGAGAGAGGGAGGAGAGAGAGAGAGAGGAGAGAGAGAGAGCGGAGAGGAGAGAGAGCGGAGAGAGAGAGAGAGCGCAGAGGAGAGAGAGAGCGCAGAGGAGAGAGAGAGAGCGGAGAGGAGAGAGAGAGCGGAGAGGAGAGAGAGAGAGAGAGAGAGAGCGCGCAGAGGAGAGAGAGAGAGAGAGAGTGGAGAGGAGAGAGAGAGCGGAGAGGAGAGAGAGAGAGAGGAGAGAGAGCGGAGAGGAGAGAGAGAGCGGAGAGGCGAGAGAGAGAGCGGAGAGGAGAGAGAGAGCGGAGAGGCGAGAGAGAGCGGAGAGGAGAGAGTTATTTTCAGGTCAGACAAGCTCTGCAGGAAAGCTGTAGCAGGTTTTTGTGTCTCAGCGATTCTCTGACATTTTCTGTTAACTTTTGGCTTAAAAATAGAATGAAATAAAAGAGCAGAAATCTGTTTGATCTCCACCTGATCCCAGATGTGACGGAAGACTCCTGAGCACATTACTGGCACAGAGCCATGATCCAGCACAGCTGCGTCCAGATGTCTTGTGCTTTTCATCAGCTCACAGGTGTCACCGAGTCGTCTGCCCTGCAGCAAGATGGTGTCATTGAAAGAGAACTCTGGTGAAGGGCCTTTGGGCCCCTGTAGGCTTTCTTCACTAAAACCCAACAGTGATCCTATCATCTCATATCCCAAATCCAACTCAGAATCTTCTGTACTAACAGCCGTATAGATCTATATCTCTCTATATTCAGGAGGGATCCGCTCTATATCTCTCTATATTCAGGAGGGATCCGCTCTATATCTCTCTATATTCAGGAGGGATCCGCTCTACATCTCTCCATATTTAGGAGGGATCCGCTCTACATCTCTCTATATTCAGGAGGGATCCGCTCTACATCTCTCTATATTCAGGAGGGATCCGCTCTACATCTCTCTATATTCAGGAGGGATCCGCTCTACATCTCTCTATATTCAGGAGGGATCCGCTCTACATCTCTCTATATTCAGGAGGGATCCGCTCTATATCTCTCCATATTCAGGAGGGATCCGCTCTATATATTAGGAGGGATCCGCTCTATATCATCTCTATATATTCAGGAGGGATCCGCTCTATATCTCTCCATATTTAGGAGGGATCCGCTCTATATCTCTCCATATTCAAGAGGGATCCGCTCTATATCTCTCTATATTTCAGGAGGGATCCGCTCTATATCTCTCCATATTTCAGGAGGGATCCGCTCTATATCTCTCCATATTCAAGAGGGATCCGCTCTATACATCTCTCTATATTCAGGAGGGATCCGCTCTTTATATCTCTATATTCAGGAGGGATACCTCTCCGTATTCAGGAGGGATCCGCTCTATATCTCTCTATATTCAGGAGGGATCCGCTCTATCTCTCCGTATTCAGGAGGGATCCGCTCTATACCTCTCCGTATTCAGGAGGGATCCGCTCTATACCTCTCTCCGTATTCTCCGGAGGGATCCGCTCTATACCTCTCCGTATTCAGGAGGGATCCGCTCTATACCTCTCCGTATTCAGGGGGATCCGCTCTATACCTCTCCGTATTCAGGAGGGATCCGCTCTATACCTCTCCGTATTCAGGAGGGATCCGCTCTATACCTCTCCGTATTCAGGAGGGATCCGCTCTATACCTCTCCGTATTCAGGAGGGATCCGCTCTATACCTCTCCGTATTCAGGAGGGATCCGCTCTATACCTCTCGTATTCAGGAGGGATCCGCTCTATACCTCTCCGTATTCAGGAGGGATCCGCTCTATACCGCTCTATACCTCTCCGTATTCAGGAGGGATCCGCTCTATCCTCTCCGTATTCAGGAGGGGCACTCATTTCTCTAGGTCGGTGTCAATGTCAATACTTACGAAGCTCATCAAAATAAGTGTCCCCTCCTCCGTCGGTTCCCGGCATGCTGCAGACAAGTCGCGCCTTCAGGAATGTTGTCCATTTATTGACTAAACTGCGCTGACCTCCCACATCATTCTGCAGAGGAGAGAGAATGTCTCCATTATACAAAGGCCAACCGAGAGCCGAGCATGACGAGATCGGGGAGAATCGACCAATCGAATATTATCCTGCAACATCGATATTATTACTAATAGCTACTAACCCCGAACCAGCATTCCTTCTGCTGTGGTCATCATTGAACCCCAAAAATCTCCTACATATTGCAGCTTACCAATCATTACATGTGGCGGCTGCATTCGTTTTCTTCTTTTGTTTAGGGCCAGTTCACACGACATGCGTTTCAGTTGCTTTTTTTTCTGCATCCAAAACGCACAGAAAGTCAGTGATATGGTTGTCAGGGTCATAGTTCACATCAGCGCTCGCAGTTCCAGGTGGAGAAAAAAAAAGTAGAACAGGCGGCATTTTTCCTGCACAGAACTGTACTGGAACGCGGTAAAACGCATCGGAATGCACATGTCCCTATTTACATTGAACAAAAAGAGAGGGGAAAAAAACGAACTGGAATGTATAAAAAAAACCACACCACAACGCGTCAAAAACGCATCAAACACACCACAACGCGTCAAAAATGTGCATGTGGAAAAGCATCCAGAACGCATCAGGACTGCGTTTCTATAGTGTGACCCGACCCTTGGGACCAGTTCACAGTATAGAAATGCAGTACAGATGCGTTTTTGCATGCACTTTTTTTTGCGTTTTTTTGACGTGTTCCAATTCATTATTGATGTGTTTTTGACGCGTTCTAGTGCATTTTTTATGGATTCTAGTTCATCTTTTCCTCTCAATTTAAATAGGGACATGTGCTTTCCAGTGCATTCCGATGCGTTTATGATGCGTTTTACTGTGTTCCAGTACAGCTCTGTGCAGAAAAAAGGCAGCCCGTTTTACTTTTTTTTTCTGCATCCAGAACGCACCGAAACTGCGAGCGCTGATGTGAACTGCGACACTGACAACCATATAACCTACTTCTGATGCGTTTTTGACGTGTTCCAGTGCATTTTTTTATGGATTCTAGTTAATTTTTCCCCCTCAATTTAAAATTGGGACATGTGCATTCCGGTGCATTTTTTGTGCATTTTATCGCGTTCCAGTACAGTTCTGTGCAGAAAAAATGCAGCCCGTTCTACTTTTTTTTCTGCATCCGGAACGCACCGACACTGCAAGCGCTGATGCAAACTATGACATTGACCACCATATAACCTACTTTTGATGCGTTTTTGACGCGTTCCAGTGCATTTTTTATGGATTTTAGTTCGCTTTTCCCCCTCAATTTAAATAGGGACATGTGCATTCCAGTGCATTTGTGGTGCGTTTTTTGATGCATTTTACCACGTTCCAGTACAGTTCTGTGCAGAAAATATGCAGCCTGCTCTACTTTTTTTTTCTGCATCCGGAACGCACCGAAACTGCAAGCGCTGATGCTAACTATAACATTGACCACCATATAACCTACTTCTGATGCGTTTTTGACGTGTTCCAGTACATTTTTTATGGATTCTAGTTCACTTTTCCCCCTCAATTAGGGACATGTGCGTTCCAGTGCATTCCGGTGCGTTTTTGATGTGTTTTACTGCGTTCCAGTACAGTTCTGTGCAGAAAAAAACTTTTTTTTCTGCAACCAAAGCGCACTGGAACTGCAAGCGCTGATGTGAACTACGACACTGACAACCATATCACTTAATTTCTGTGCGTTTTGGATGCAGGAAAAAAGGAACTGAAACGCATGGAGTGTGAATCGGCCCTTAGACTTTTTCACTGTCTGTTTTCACCTGGTGATCTGGCCAGTAACTCTCCTTCTGTATTAGAGCGCCCCCACTCTGGATGAAGGAGCACAGGAAGCACAATGGGAGAGCTGCATTGTCAGTCTGGGGTGAGGGGAGTGGTAGATGGACTAGCAGATTTAAATACACTAACAAATTGGTCTAATACTTATAATCATTTACAGTAACAGTTTTGTTCCTTCTGGGATAAAGGTTTTATGTACATTAATACACGCTGATCCTTGTCAGCACCCCCGCCAGTGGTAAATGGTTTGTCTCATCCCTGTAACTGCAAGAGAGCTTGTTCTTTTGAAAAACAGCCTGACAGGCCAGATCACCGGGTGAAAATAAAGGAAAAGAAAACCTAAAAAAGAAAACCAAGGCAGTCACCGCATCTGAGAACTGGTAAGCTGCAGTAAAATCAACGCATTTGGGTTTAATACTGTCAGTGCCAATATCTCGGTCCAATTACCCGACAAATCTGCCCGATCCGGGCGTACGACTGTTTGACGCCTCCGAGCCCCTCGACGGGCGTCTCCCGGAAGAAGAAGTAGATTTTATCGTCGTCTTGGTTCTCACTTTCCGGGATCCAGAAAACTTTCACGAACTTCGGCTCTGAGACACAAAATACGAAAAATATTCTCAAACTTTACTCTGCGGTAACAATTCCATATCCGGTGGTGGAATCTGGTACAGCTGTGCATGGGAGCCAATCAGATTCCAGGTTTCAGCCCTTATTCACACTGATGCAACTTGCCATGTGATTTGACCGTTCAAGTCACATGACAAGTCGCATCCAATGATTGGCGTTCTACAGTTTCAGCAAATCCCCCCCATAGTGTCTGCTGATGGATTCTGCCGATCATCATGTGGTCAGAGAGGTCACAGGGGCCCCTCCGGTCACATTGGACTTTGTACAGATTTAGGAAAGATTTGTAACAATGCAGATTGCCAGGCGATTTAATCGTTCAAGTCACATGACAAGTCGCATCCAATGATTGGCGTTCTACAGTTTCAGCAAATCCCGCCCCCCCCGTAGTGTCTTCTGATGGGTTCTGCCAATCATCATGTGGTCAAAGAGATCACAGGGGCCCCTCCGGTCACAATGGACTTTGTACAGATTTAGTAAAGATTTGTAACGATGCAACTTGCTGTGCGATTTGCCTGTTCAAGTCACATGATAAATCGCATCCAATGATTGGCAATGGAACCATTCTAATCAGTGCACTGCACTACTTTTGCCAGTTGCGGGTGCAATTTGTGGACATCTGTGCGACTTCATGCACAGATGTCTATGCAAGTCACACCCGAAATCCGCAAAAAGTAGTGCAGTGCACCGATTAGAATGGTACCACTGCCAATCACTGAATGCAACTTGCCATGCAATTTGATCAAGTCGCATGACAAGTCGCATCCAATGATTGGTGCTCTCCAGTTTCAGCAAAAACCGCCCTGTAGTGTCTGCTGATGGGTTCTGCCGATCATCATGTGGTCAGGGAGATCACAGGGGCCCCTCCGGTCACATTGGACTTTGTACAGATTTAGAAAAGATTTGTAACGATGCAACTTACCGTGTGATTTAACTGTTCAAGTCACATGACAAGTCGCATCCAATGATTGGCGCTTTCCAGTTTCAGTAAATATCCCCCATAGTGTCTGCCGGATTCTGCCGATCAACATGTGGTCAGGGAGATCACAGGGGCCCCTCCGGTCACATTGGACTTTGTACAGATTTAGAAAAGATTTGTAACGAGCAACTTACACGATTTAACTGTTCAAGTCACTGACAAGTCGCATCCAATGATTGATGCTCTCCAGTTTCAGCAAAAACCGCCCTGTAGTGTCTGCTGATGGGTTCTGCCGATCATCATGTGGTCAGGGAGATCACAGGGGCCCCTCCGGTCACATTGGACTTTGTACAGATTTAGAAAAGATTTGTAACGATGCAACTTACCGTGCGATTTAACTGTTCAAGTCACATGACAAGTCGCATCCAACGATTGGCGCTTTCCAGTTTCAGTAAATATCCCCCATAGTGTCTGCTGACGGATTCTGCCGATCAACATGTGGTCAGGGAGATCGCAGGGGCCCCTCCGGTCACATTGGACTTTGTACAGATTTAGGAAAGATTTGTAATGGTAAACGGAATCCGGGCTGAAGAGTTTTTGCCGCCAGGAATCAGACGGCGTGTATCATTCCCGGGTGGGGGGGTGGGCAATGAAAGATGAATTATGATTGGCTGCCCGCTGTTGCGTTTTCCTTTGTCCCAATTATTCTACAGTCTGCGACCTTTCTAATACATGCGACTATTTATAGCTGCCCTGGAGTTAATGGCCAACTATTAGAAAGCATCAATCACTCATCTCCAGACAGCAGACGGCCGCTCCCCAGATATCTCCCACGAGGGCAAATAAGGTGTCTGCGATCATTGCCAGTCCATGGCGGCGCGGAGCCGCCTCTACCGCCATGATCAGTGCCAGCTGCCAGTATCACAGCCGCCTCTCCAGTATTCCAGCGCCCCCGGCCAGTGTCAGCCCTTTAAAGCTGAACTAGGTATCTTCGCTGCATACTCACATTGGTCCAGCTTGGCACGATGTACGATGCATATTTCAGAACTGCCGGGGAAGCTGACAATCACAGTAGTAGTCAGCGCTACTACATTGATAGTCGATATCTTCCTGCTTAGGTTCTATGCAAGCAGCATTCCCTCTGCACACTGACCATGGGGGGGGGGGGGGGTGAGGGGCAGGCATTCATTCGGTACCACCACCGTTCATAGAGCACGTAATTTTTTTTTAAATACAATGAATACAAGCCATTCTCTGATTGGACGAGGTGGGGTGGTGATGTCACAGTCTCCACCTCATCCAATCATCCAATCAGAGAAACCCTAGTGTACACCTAAAAAACCCACCAGGCATTCTGTGAATGGCGGTAGTGCCAAATGAGTGACGTACTGTGCTTGGTGTGCAGAGGGGAAGCTGCTTATGCAGGATCCAGCTATCACTGTAGTGGCGTCAACTACTGCAATGATTGTCTGCTTCCCCATTGGCCTCTGGTATATTATTATTATTAGAGGTACTTATATAGCGCCATCATATAGTGCCATGGCAACACCCACTAGCGTCCTTAACGATCAGTGAATAGCTGGTTGTTAGGGAGCCAGCACCCGCCAGCGTCCTTAACGACCAGTGAATAGCTGGTTGTTAGGGAGCCGACACCTGCCAGTGTCCCTAACAACCAGCCAATCACTGGTTGTCAAGGACACTGGCAGGTTCCAGCTTTGCAATTCACTGGTAATTAAGAATGCCGGCACCTGGTGGCGTCCTTAACAACCAGCTATTCACCGCATATCTGCTGCATTAAATTTGAACCAGACGCATTTAAAAGGCGCTATGCACAATTTATATTTGTTTTAAAGCACAGCAGCATGAATCCAGCCTTGGAATTGCCACCAAAATGCACCTTCGATTTTAAGTGAATGGAGACGTACCAGAAACACACAGGGGTGTGTTTTTCAGTACATTTTTGGGGGGTCACGGTCACATGACAATTTTTTTTACAAAAACGTTGGTTAAGGAGTCAGCACCTTCTGAGGTCTGTAACAACCTGCGAATAGTGGAGCCAGCACCCACCAGCATCCTTAATGACCAGTGAATAGCTGGTTGTTAGGGAGCCGGCACCCACCAGTGTCCTTAACGACCAGTAAATAGTTGGTTGTTAGGGAGCCGGCACCCACCAGCGTCCTTAACAACCAAACACTGGTTGTCAAGAACACTGGCAGGTGCTGGCTCTGCAGTTCACTGGTAATTAAGGATGCTGGATGCTGGCACGTCACATATGCGTGTTTCCCAAAATGCCCTGTGCATATTTTTTATTTGTTTTTAAGCGCAGCAGCGTGAAACCAGCCTTAGAATTGCCACCAGAACAGGGAAAATATTCCAATAGAGGGACCTCTTCCAGGGACCGCTGTCTAAGAGGAGATTTCCCTAATGTTGGAAATTCCTGTTGAGTCAACAAGACAGGAAGTGAAGGGAAATCTCCCTAATGAGTCACCTGACATAACAGAAAATGGCAGGGCGTTTACCCACTCCCTACTTTAAACGGCTTTAGATATTCAAGTGCTCCCTCCTAGTTTCCAGCAGCTCCCTGATCCCAGTGCTCCCTATGTTATGAATGAACACAGTGACTGATTGGTACCGATCACTCATTGTGTTTATTCAGGAAAGGAAGGGGCTGGTTAATGTGGCATATTTATCGGATCCCTCCCCCACTCTCCATCCTGAAGGATCCTATTGTGTGCTTGCAGCTGCTGGTGAGAAGGAAAGGAGGACAGCCGGCAGCACTGGGGGTGTGGGGGCGTACAGGGGGGCCTGGTGCACAGGGAGGGTGATGGGTGCACCGGGGGCAATTACTGGAACCGATCCCCTGTATGACTGTCTCTGCAGCAGCTGAAAGCCAGCGGGAGGGAGAGGAGAAGCCGGATTTCAGCTGCTGCAGAGAGAGTCATACAGGGGATCAGTTCCAGAGATTTCCCCACCCGTCTTGATTACCGTCTCTCTGCCCACATCAATGCCCCCCTGCTGCCCTGGGCCCCCGTACAGGAGGACTGGTGGTACCGCCTTATCCAAGACCCTGCCTACATCACAGGGAAATAGGCCAGCAGATGGCGCTGGACCCAGGAACTGACCATTCAGCCAGCGGGAATCGTGCTGCTCAGTGCGCAGGGGCGGGCGCCGTCCCAGGCTGCGGAAGATGGTGAAGTCCCGTCCCATGAGGTCTGTGGCGACTCCGGAGTAGAGTTCATCTCCTGGGAAGGGAGAGGTGCATATAATTACATGGGGTGCAGCAGGAGGAGACATAATGGGGGGGGGGGGTATATGAAATGAGGGGACCTTTCCATCGGACATCCAACCCCAAGCAGGAGAAGCTTCTTCTATAAATCTTACAATTTCACATATATATGTAGACTGCACTGTCCATTGTTACCCAGAATTACAAGGCACTCCCCAGCTCCTCCCCCTTCCTTCTCCAAGCTAGCAGATTGGCTGTGGACTGCACTGTCCCCTTATAACAAGGATGGCAAGACACGCCCCTGCTCCTCCCCCCCTCCAATCACCACGCTAACGTACTGGCTGTAGACTGCACTGTCCACTGTTACCTGGGATGGCAAGGCACGCCCCTGCTCCTCCCCCTCCAATCACCACGCTAACGTACTGGCTGCAGACTGTACTGTCCACTGTTACCTGGGATGGCAAAGACATGCCCCTGCTCCTCCCCCTCCAATCACCACGCTAACAGATTGGCTGTGGACTGCACTGTCCACTGTTACCTGGGATGGCAAATCACCACACTAACAGATTGGTTGTGGACTGCACTGTCCCCTGCGGCCACGCCCCCCCCCCCAATCACCACGCTAACGTACTGGCTGTAGACTGCACTGTCCACTGTTACCCGGGATGGCAAGACACACCCCTGCTCCTCCCATCTCCAAGCTAACAGACTTTCTGTAGCCTGCACTGTCCACCAGAAGTTCAGGGAAGCAGCACTGAGAGAGCATTTGCCAGCAGCATTGAAAGCTGTAAACTGCAAGTCCTGGTATATGAATTTTACCTCTGTGGGGAGATTGGGGGGGAGTTGTGCAGAAAATGTCTACTCACCAATAAGCGTTGAAGCCGCTGCATGCTTGGGGTCGTATGGACAGCGTCCTTTCCCATCCTCCAGCCTCGCCATGTCCAGCCTAAACACCGTGTCCTGGAAAACACACGCGATGCCGTACAGCTTTCTGCAGCAAAACGCAAACATCCCACCGCGTCCAACTGTACGTGCACGCAAGGTGTGCCTTAGTGGCCTCTCAGGTGTCTTGCAAGGCCACTCCGGCACGCCTTAAGTGCTGCGGTCAGTTCTCACGTCACACAGCAAAAGGCAGCGTCCTGAAACAACGCATCACACAGGCGGCATCCGAGGGTCTCCTGGCACGCCATTTCCAGCAACGACACACAATGCCACTCATACAAAGCAGTAAGCGGTGAGGATGTGTAGAGTGTCCCCTCCCCCCCTTCTTACGTCCGTGCGTTGTCCCACGTGCAAGTAGCCGCAGGTGGGGTGGAAGGCTCCGGTGCCGCAGGTGAACAGGTGAGTGCGATTGTACAGCTGAAGGATCTTCACATAATTCATACATTCCACCTGCAGGGGGGGAAATACTTGTGTGAGCGGCAATGTCACGACTTGCACAATTTATCGGCTTCTTCCCGGCAGGTCCTACGCACCCCCCCCCACCCTCCATCCTGGGGGGGGATTTACTGACAGCTCCCGTCCTGCTGGAATTTACTAAGCCAGCTCTACCCTGAACTCTCCGCTCTGCAGATCACCAATTCCAATCTCAGCGAATAACCGACAAAACGATCGCCCAACCGCTGCCAGCCCCATAGCAGCCGCCATGACAGCGCCATCTAGGCTCCTGCAATGGTCTCCACATCCACTGGGGCAATTTTTTCACGCACATGTAAAAAAAAAATAAATTTAAAAATCTACATTTTTTGCTAGAAATTACTTACCCCCCCCCCCCCCCTCAAAAAGTATATATTTTCTGAAAGCAGAGGCCCCGGAGATTAAAATGGCGGCAGTTACATCTTTTCTAATTTTTAACAAAACGCAGATTTAGGACTTGTTCACACTTGACTTCTTCCCAAGCGCCCCTGTAGCGTTTCACAGGCTTTGTATGGGCGTTTTACGGGTGTTGAAAAACACTCCCCAGACACCCTGTGCGCGGTTGTGAGGCATTTTAGAAGCGTTAAAATCGCACCACAAACGCCTGTAATGAACTCAATGGTATTAACGCCCCGCAAACGCCCGCCAGGCGTCACCATAGACTTGAATGGGAGGCGTTGAAAGGCTTCAACTCCTGACTCCACACAAGGCGTCAATTTTGATGCGGCGCTAATGTGTCATTGGGCACCATTGTTGGTGTCATTGGGAGGAATTGTGCCCCATCATGGTGTCATTGGAAAGAATGTACCCCGTCGCTGGTGTTATTGGGCCCCATTGTTTGTGTCATTGGGAGGAACTGTGCCCCATCATTGGTGTCATTGGGAGGATAAGTGTCCCATCATTGGTGTCATTGGGAGGAATTGTGCCCCATCATTGGTATCACTGGGCCCCATTGTTGGTGTCATTGGGAGGAATTGTGCCCTATCAGTGATGTCAATGGGAGGAATTGTGCCCCATCTCTGGTGTCATTGAAAAGAATATGCCCCATCTCGTGTTATTGGACCCAATTGTTTGTGTCATTGGGAGGAATTGTGTCCCATCGTTGGTATCATTGGGCACCATTGTTGGTGTCAATGCGAGGAATTTTGCTCCATCACTGGTGTCGTTGGAAAGAATGTGCCCTGTCTCTGGTGTTATTGAGCCCCATTGTTTGTGTCATTGGGAGGAACTGTGCCCCATCATTGGTGTCATTGGGAGGAATTGTCTCCCATCATTGGTATCATTGGGCACCAATGATGGTGTCACTGGGAGGAATTGTGCCCTATCATGGTGTCATTGGAAAGAATGTGCCCCATCTCTGGTGTTATTGGGCCCCATTGTTTGTGTCATTGGGAGGAACTGTGCCCCATCATTGGTGTCAGTAGGAGGATTAGTGCCACATCATTGGTGTCAGTGGGAGGAATAGTGCCCCATCATTGGTGTCAGTGGGAGGAATAGTGCCCCATCATTGGTGTCAGTGGGAGGAATAGTGCCCCATCATTGGTGTCAGTGGGAGGAATAGTGCCTCATCATTGGTGTCAGTGGGAGGAATAGTGCCCCATCATTGGTATCAGTGGGGGGAATAGTGCCCCATCATTGGTATCAGTGGGGGGAATAGTGCCCCATCATTGGTGTCAGTTGGAGGAATAGTGCCCCATCATTGGTGTCAGTGGGAGGAATAGTGTCCCATCATTGGTGTCAGTGGGAGTTATAGTGCCCCATCATTGGTGTCAGTGGGAGGAATAGTGCCCCATCATTGGTGTCAGTGGGAGGAATAGTGCCCCATCAGTGGTATCAGTGGGAGGAATAGTGTCCCACCATTGGTGTCAGTGGGAGGAATAGTGCCCCATCATTGGTGTCAGTGGGAGGAATAGTGCCCCATCATTGGTATCAGTGGGAGGAATAGTGCCCCATCATTGGTATCAGTGGGGGGAATAGTGCCCCATCATTGGTGTCAGTGGGAGGAATAGTGTCCCACCATTGGTGTCAGTGGCAGGAATAGTGCCCCATCATTGGTATCAGTGGGAGGAATAGTGCCCCATCATTGGTATCAGTGGGAAGAATAGTGCCCCGTCATTGGTGTCAGTGAATGAAGTAGTGCTCCATGGGCCAGATAAAAACAAGCAAAAGGCCACATTTGGCCCCCGGGCCGCAGTTTGGAGACCCCTGGCTTAGAGGGAAGTGATGGTGATCGCGCATTACTCTCGCTCTGACATGGCGGCGATACCTCACATTTTGCTGGAACACACATGCTCGCCGAGTGTTTGACTAGGGATGTATATGGGGGTGGGGGTGCTTTAAATATTTTTCTTTCATTATTTTTAACTTCTTTTATATAATTTATTATTTTTTTACACTTTTTTTAAATTTAGCTTAACAAGCCCCCTGTGTGATAGTATCGGGCAGGTGACAGGTCCTCTTTATGGAGACATCAGGGGTCTAATAGACGACCCCCCCAATGTCTCCCCTACCCTGTAATGCAGCTAATCAAGCACAGATTGTACTTGATGATCCGCATCCTCTGCTTCAGAAGCCAAGGATTTGCAGCTGTGATCCCGGGAGTGATGGAACGCCGGTCCCTTCTGGGTGCGTCAGTCCCACGAGGACCACTCGGGGAATAGATGTTCCCGGACCACCTCCTATGGGAGCCATTTGGCACAGCGTGGGGGAGGGGCATACCTTCAGAACCAATGCAGCCGTCAGATCGAAAACTGGTAGAAATGTTCGCTTTTGCGTGGTTAATACCGCTTTGGTCCGTTTTCTTTTTTTTTTAAACTGTTGACCTGATTGGTTGCTCCGGTCTTTGCTCTGAGACCCCCCTGCAGTGTGCTGGCCATAGTGCCCCCGGGTGGGCTGTGACCTGTGGAAGTATGTGGGGGGGTGGGGGGGTGATGACGTTGTATGGCTCTATAGATATGGAGGAATCCCATAGACGCAATGAAGGAGAGGAATGTATATACGCATGTGATAACGCAGATTCATCGAATTCCTGCTCAGCCCCCCCCATCTCCTCCCCCACACAGCTTCAATCATACCTCCATATCAGCCCCCCCCCCTCCCCTCCCCCACACAGCTACAGTCATACCTCCATATCAGCCCACCGCTGGAGAAAATGACTTACCACTCACACAGGAGTATACAGTCAGGTCCATAAATATTGGGACATCGACACAATTCTAACATTTTTGGCTCTATACACCACCACAATGGATATGAAATGAAACGAACAAGATGTGCTTTAACTGCAGACTGTCAGATTTAATGTGAGGGTATTTACATCCAAATCAGGTGAACGGTGTAGGAATTACAACAGTTTGCATATGTGCCTCCTACTTGTTAAGGGACCAAAAGTACTGGGACAATTGGCTTCTCAGCTGTTCCATGGCCAGGTGTGTGTTATTCCCTCATTATCCCAATTACAATGAGCAGATAAAAGGTCCAGAGTTCATTTCAAGTGTGCTATTTGCATTTGGAATCTGTTGCTGTCAACTCTCGAGATAAGATCCAAAGAGCTGTCACTATCAGTGAAGCCATCATTAGGCTGAAAAAACAAAACAAACCCATCAGAGAGATAGCAAAAACATTAGGCATGGCCAAAACAACTGTTCGGAACATTCTTAAAAAGAAGGAACGCACCGGTGAGCTCAGCAACACCAAAAGACCCGGAAGACCACGGAAAACAACTGTGGTGGATGAGCGAAGAATTCTTTCCCTGGTGAAGAAAACACCCTTCACAACAGTTGGCCAGATCAAGAACACTCTCCAGGAGGTAGGTGTATGTGTGTCAAAGTCACCAATCAAGAGAAGACTTCACCAGAGTGAATACAGAGGGTTCACCACAAGATGGAAACCATTGGTGAGCCTCAAAAACAGGAAGGCCAGATTAGAGTTTGCCAAACGACATGTAAAAAAGCCTTCACAGTTCTGGAACAACATCCTATGGACAGATGAGACCAAGATCAACTTGTACCAGAGTGATGGGAAGAGAAGAGTATGGAGAAGGAACTGCTCATGATCCTAAGCATACCACCTGATCAGTGAAGCATGGTGGTGGTAGTGTCATGGCGTGGGCATGTATGGCTGCCAATGGAACTGCTTCTCTTGTATTTATTGATGATGTGACTGCTGACAGAAGCAGCCGGATGAATTGTGAAGTGTTTCGGGAATATTATCGGCTCATATTCAGCCAAATGCTTCACAACTCATTGGACGCTTCACAGTGCAGATGGACAATGACCCAAAGCAGACTGCAAAAGCAACCAAAGAGTTTTTTTAAGGGAAAGAAGTGGAATGTTCTGCAATGGCCAAGTCAATCACCTGACCTGAATCCGATTGAGCATTTCACTTGCTGAAGACAAAACTGAAGGGAAAATGCCCCAAGAACAAGCAGGAACTGAAGACAGTTGCAGTAGAGGCCTGGCAGAGCATCACCAGGGATGAAACCCAGCGTCTGGTGATGTCTATGCGTTCCACACTTCAGGCTGTAATTGACTGCAAAGGAGGATTTGCAACCAAGTATTAAAAAGTGGAAGTTTGATTCATGATTATTATTCTGTCCCATTACTCTTGGTCCCTTAACAAGTGGGAGGCACATATGCAAACTGTTGTAATTCCTACACCGTTCACCTGATTTGGATGTAAATACCCTCAAATTAAAGCTGACAGTCTGCCGTTAAAGCACATCTTGTTCCTTTCATTTTAAAACCATTGTGGTGATGTATAGAGCCAAAAATGTTAGAATTGTGTCCATGTCCCAATATTTATGGACCTGACTGTATGTCATTATAGTGTTACAGAGACTGATGGGACCGGTTCAGTGATCTCTGTACAGCTCTGCGGTATATGTCACAGCTACAGTGAAGGAAATGCGTATTTGCTCCCCTGCTGATGTTGAATGTTCGCCCCTCACACAGAAATGATCGGTCTAACAATGGAATGTTCGGTGTATTGTAACACTGAGAGACAGAATACAACAACAAATTCAGCAGAAATGCGTCTAACAAAAATGATGACTGATCTGCATGTTCATGAGGGAAAGAAGGATTTGATCCCCTATCATTCAGCAGGATTTCTGGCTCCCAGGTGTCTTTCATACAGGTAACAAGCTGAGATTAGAAGCAGTCTCTTAAAGGGAGTGCTGCTAATCTCATTGTGTTACCTGTATAAAAGACACCTGTCCACAGGAGCCATCAAACCATCAGATTCCAAACTCTCCACCATGGCAAAGACCAAAGAGCTGTCCAAGGATGTCAGGGACAAGATTGTAGACCTACACAAGGCTGGACTGGGCTACCAAACTATGGCCAAGCAGCTTGGTGAGAAGGTGACAACAGTTGGTGCAATCATTCACAAATGGAAGAAACACAAAACAAGTGTCAGTCTCCCTAGGTCTGGTGCACCATGCAAGATCTCACCTCGTGGAGTGTCAATGATCATGAGAACAGTGAGGAATCATCCCAGAACTACACGTGAGGATCTTGTCAATGATCTCCAGGCAGCTGGGACCACAGTCACCAAGAGAACAATTGGTAACACACTACGCCGACAAGGACTGAAATCCTGCAGTGCCCGCAAGGTCCCTCTGACAAGAAAGCACATGTCCAGGCCCGTCTGAAGTCTGCCACTGAATATCTGAATGATGCAGAGGAGGACTGGTGGAAAGTGTTGTGGTCAGATGAGACCACAATCGAGGTCTTTGGCATCAACTCAACTGGCCGTGTTTGGAGGAGGAGGAATGCTGCCTATGACCCCAATAACACCATCCCAACTGTGAAACATGGTGGTGGAAACATTCTGCTTTGGGGGTGTTTTTCTGCTAAGGGGACAGGACAACTGCACCGCATCAAAGGGACGATGGACGGGGCAATGTACCCTCAAATCTTGGATGAGAACCTTCTTTCCTCAGCCAGGACATTGAAAATGGGTGGTGGATGGGTGTTCCAGCATGACAATGACCCAAAACACACGGCCAAGGCAACAAAGGAGCGGCTCAAGAAGAAGCACATTAAGGTCCTGGAGTGGCCTTAGCCAGTCTCCACACCTTAATCCGATTGAAAATCTGTGGAGGGAGCTGAAAGTTCGAGTTGCCAAACGTCAGCCACCAAACCTTAAAGACTTGGAGAGGATCTGCCAAGAGGAGTGGGCCAAAATCCCTCCTGAGATGTGTGCGAACCTGGGGGCCAACTCCAGGAAACGTCTGACCTCTGTGATTACCAACAAGGGATTTGCCACCAAGTACTAAGTCATGTTTTGTGAAGGGGATCAAATCCTTCTTTCCCTCATGAACATGCAGATCCATCATCATTTGTTAGAAGCATTTCTGCTGAATTTGTTGTTGTATTCTGTCTCTCAGTGTTACACCGAACATTCGATTTTTTAGACCGATCATTTCTTTGTGAGGGGCGAACATTCACCATCAGAGGGGGGCAAATACACATTTCCTTCACTGTATATAAATGTATAATAATAATAATAGTGTGGGACTGTGGGGGAGGGGACATTAGAGTGTAAGCTCCTCTGATACAGAGATGATGTGACTGTGGGGGAGGGGACATTAGAGTGTAAGCTCCTCTGGTACAGAGACTGATGGGACTGGCTGAGTGTTCTCTGTACAGCGCTGCGGTATATGTCAGAGCTATATACATGTATAATAATAGTGTGTGACAACAGATTTTGCTGTGAATCTGAGCCCCGGGAAGATTTCCAGGGACGGATCTCGGTCTTGGGGGGACTGTCACGGTCAGCTGTCACTTGGGCGTCTCTCTTTCTTTCCATCGCCCGCACCTTTATTTATTCTACTCAGATTTCCTCCTACTTCACAGTGACCTTTGACCCGGGATACTGGGACTCAGCGTGCAGAAAGTAAACATGGAATCTGTTGCAAAGCAGGCTGGGAGCCCAGGGGCAGCGATGGGTGCGACGGTGTCACCTGGCACACGTGACCCGCTTTGGAGTCCCGCGGATGCGTCACTGGCACCAGATAATAAACAAAGTCACCAATAGATCCATTTCCGATGATGTTGGTCATGCGGGGTGACGTGTCCGTGGTCCCCCCAGTGAATGGGGACCCATCGTTACAATTCACATTAATCATTGTGTTATTTTGCCTAGGCAAAAGTCACATGGTCCCTTCTACCAGGAGCCTTGTGGTTGTTTAATGTCATTAAAGGCTGCAAGGAGTCTAGAGTTTGCAATCAGACAGAACCTGTCCGGTGGGCTTGTATTGGGATAAGAGGAACATTAATGACTGGACGTGGATCTCTCGTTTGTACCATCAGATTGATCTAGCAGCTAAGCCCGCCCTCTGTATACAAAAGCCCCGCCCATTACGCTGTAACCAATAAATGGCCCCCCCGTAGGTCCTCTGTACTCACATTGATGTCTTTTCCTGCCCAGTTGCATTCTTCCCGCCATTCCACAAGTGCCGGCCAGTGAATCTGGTTGGAGGAGAACAGAAGAGATTATTATTTCCAGTGGAGAAGTCTTATCTTGGCTAGTTATACAGATATATGATTTTATTGCATGTCCTTATCTGCTTCTGTGCTGTAGATATTGAGACAGATCAATACAGGGAGCCAGGGCTGCTGTTATAAACCATGGGGGCCCCATACAGCCAACCTGACAGGGCCCCCCCAAACCACAGGGCCCCTTTCAGCCAACCTGACAGGCCCCCCCCAAACCACAGGGCCCCTTACAGCCAACCTGACAGGCCCCCCCAAAACCACAGGATCCCATACAGCCAACCTGACAGGCCCCCCTCAAATCACAGGGCCCCATTCAGCCAACCCGACAGGCCCCCCAAACCACAGGGCCCCATACAGCCAACCTAACAGCCCCCCCCCAAACCACAGGGCCCCATACAGCCAACCAAACAGGGCCCCCCCCCCAAACCACAGGGCCCCATACAGCCAACCTAACAGGGCCACCCCAAACCACAGGGTGGGACTAAGGAACGTTGCTCAGTGGTGGTAGGGAGTGGGACTAAGGAACGTTGCTTAGCGGTGAGTAGGGGGTGGGACTAAGGAACGTTGCTCAGTGGCAGGTAGGGGGTGGGACTAAGGAACATTGCTCAGCGGTGGCTAGGGGGTGGGACTAAGGAACATTGCTCAGCTGTGGCTAGGGGGTGGGACTAAGGAACGTTGCTCAGCGATGGCTAGGGGGTGGGACTAAGGAACGTTGCTCAGTGGCGGGTAGGGGGTGGGACTAAGGAATGTTGCTCAGCGGCGGGTAGGGGGTGGGACTAAGGAACGTTGCTCAGTGGCGGGTAGGGGGTGGGACTAAGGAACATTGCTCAGTGGTGGTAGGGGGTGGGACTAAGGAACGTTGCTTAGCGGTGAGTAGGGGGTGGGACTAAGGAACGTTGCTCAGTGGTGGGTAGGGGGTGGGACTAAGGAACGTTGCTCAGCGGTGGCTAGGGGGTGGGACTAAGGAACGTTGCTCAGTGGCGGGTAGGGGGTGGGACTAAGGAACGTTGCTCAGCGGCGGGTAGGGGGTGGGACTAAGGAACGTTGCCCAGCGGCGGGTAGGGGGTGGGACTAAGGAACGTTGCTCAGCGGCGAGTAGGGGGTGGGACTAAGGAACGTTGCTCAGCGGCGGGTAGGGGGTGGGACTAAGGAACGTTGCTCAGCGGCGGGTAGGGGGTGGGACTAAGGAACGTTGCTCAGCGGCGGGTAGGGGGTGGGACTAAGGAACGTTGCTCAGTGGTGGTAGGGGGTGGGACTAAGGAACGTTGCTCAGCGGTGGTAGGGGGTGGGGCTAAGGAACGTTGCTCAGCGTTGGGAAGGGGCGGAGACAAGGGGTGACTTGGCAAGGGGGGAGCTCCGGCACCAGAAAAAAAGCCCTGATCCAAAGCAATCTCCTCCATCCATGTCTCCATGCTATATTTTGCTGAGAAATCACTTTCTAGCTGCGGCCATCTTGAGTAAGGGCAGAATATTAATGTAGCCTTTACTTCCTGGAATCAACCTGCCCTTAGATTAGGCATGCAGGCAGGAGGGAGTGCTTAGCTGAGAAAGCCCCTCCTCCCCTCCTGAAGATTCCTGGGATGTATGACATCATTTTGGCCTAGGTCACAAACCAGGAAGCAATTAAAGAAATGTAAAAAAAAAAAAAAAAAAAAAAAGAATGAAGACAGCCGCTCCCCCTTCAGTCCCCCCCAAACCACAGGGGCCCCGGTGCAGCAGTTCTAGCAGGAAGCGGTACTTACCGTGAGCTCATTCCTGGTGATGTCATCCAGACTCAGGGACAACAGGTAATTCTTCCCGCCCACAAAGAGGCGACCGCGTTCCTCGTCTAGTAGGAGGGCGTCGTAGCAGCAGGAGCGGTTGTGGGTGTAGGTCCGCAGGCCGTGGAGGGACAGATCTGGGGGGGGGGGGGGAGAGATGGGGGGAAACAAGGAAGTGAAAACGGTACATTGTGGAAAGGTTGGAGGATGTGGGGCTGACTTAACAGATTAAGAACCCGGTCTCACCGGGTGCGACTTGGCAGGCGATTTACATGCCAAGTCGCACCCTATTGTTCATAATTACAGCGGTCATATCGGTGCGGTCACGACTCGCTCGGAGCCGCACCGATTTCTGAAGTAGTCCATGCGATACTTTTGGTGCGATTGGATAGACATCTGTGTCAGATGTCTTCCAAATCTATGCATTGCATGGAGACCCAGTGATGACATCCCTGGATATAAAATACAATGTAATGAATGAATGCAATGTAATATTTAATGAAATTAATCTAAATACACCTCCAAACCCTCTAAATAAAGAGAAAAAAAAAGAAAGAAAAATAGTAATAAAAATTAACCACCTCCCGTCCGGCCGTTGTATATAAACGGCCGGACGGTGGCAGTGCGGGGTCACCCCCTGCTTATGCGCGCTCCCTGGGAGCGATCCGGTGCCCGCTGTGTCCTCCAGACACAGTGAAACACCGATCGTCTGTGCGAGGTCCCGATCATGCGATCACTGATTGGCCAATCAGTGATCACATGCAGAGTAGTAAGCAAGATGTCACTTCTGACATCATTGCTTACTACGTGTGAAATCTGTGAATGATCACAGAGGTCACATGGTACAGGGCCATTCCTGTGACAATCTGTGACCAATCACAGTTCACAGTTCTCAATGGCTGCAGGAATGCAGCCAGTGAGAAGGAGAAATTATTGCTTTTACAGCCTTTATGGGTGTAAAAGCAATCAGTGTAAAAAAAAAAGTGTCCGGACTGGAAGGGGGTGAAAGCGTCCGGACTGGAAGGGGGGTGAAAGCGTCCGGACTGGAAGGGGGGGGGAAAGCGTCCGGACTGGAAGGGGGGGAAAGCGTCCGGACTGGAAGGGGGTGAAAGCGTCCGGACTGGAGGGGGGGGGGAAAGCGTCCGGACTGGAAGGGGGGGGGGGAAAGCGTCCGGACTGGAAGGGGGGGGGGGAAAGCGTCCGGACTGGAAGGGGGGGGGGAAAGCGTCCGGACTGGAAGGGGGGGGGAAAGCGTCCGGACTGGGAGGGGGGGGGAAAGCGTCCGGACTGGAAGGGGGGAAAGCGTCCGGACTGGAAGGGGGAGGGGGGAAGCGTCCGGACTGGAAGGGGGAGGGGGAAGCGTCCGGACTGGAAGGGGGGGAGGGGGAAGCGTCCGGACTGGAAAGGGGGAGGGGGAAGCGTCCGGACTGGAAGGGGGAGGGGGAAGCGTCCGGACTGGGGGGGAAGGGGGAAGCGTCCGGACTGGAAGGGGGGGGGAAGCGTCCGGACTGGAAGGGGGGGGGAAAGCGTCCGGACTGGAAGGGGGGGGGGAAGCGTCCGGACTGGAAGGGGGGGAAAGCGTCCGGACTGGAAGGGGGGAAAGCGTCCGGACTGGAGGGGGGGAAAGCGTCCGGACTGGAAGGGGGTGAAAGCGTCCGGGCTGGAAGGGGGGGAAAGCGTCCGGACTGGAAGGGGGGGGAAAGCGTCCGGACTGGAAGGGGGGAAAGCGTCCGGACTGGAAGGGGGGGAAGTGTCCGGACTGGAAGTGGTTAAAAAAGAAAGAAAAAACATTTTTTTTTAAATGTAGTGGCCCTAATCTGCTTAATAAGTTCAATTCCTCCCTACTGTATAGAGAGTTGACATTGATAAGAAGACTCACCGTGATAGGACAGCTTCAGCCGAGGGGTGATGGTGGGATCCCCATGAATGCCACAGCACAGCAGGACGCCCAGGAACAGCGACCAGCTTAGGAATCGCATCTTACAAGGCGCGGAGGGGTGAGACGGCCTGCAGAGAGAGAGAGCAGGGAGGGGGCATATTAAGGACAAACCAAAACGGCAAATAAACAATTACACTCATTTATGGAGCCACTTTGGGGTCTATTTATAAGGATCAGCCAAAAAAAAAACAAATCACTAAGGGCCAGTTCACATGGTTGCTTTTTTTCGGCATCCAAAACGCACAGAAAGTAGGTGATGTGGTTGTCAATGTCATAGTTCACATCAGAGCTTGCAGTTCCGGATGTAGAAAAAAAAATAGAACAGGTGGCATCAGGGGCGGACTGACCATTCGGACACTCGGGCACTGCCCGAGGGCCGGGGGGTCAGTAGGGGACCCCATGAGATGCCCCTGGTACCTTTAATAGGCTTTTTTGGGTGTGGTTTGAGTGTGGGTGAGGACACAGGGGCCCCATGATCCCCTATTGTCTGGGGGCCCCATGAGTTGTCAGTCCGCCCCTGGTTGGCATTTTTCCTGCACAGAACTGTACTGGAACACGGTAAAACGCACATGTCCCCATTTCAAAAAGGAGAGGGGAAAAAATGAACTGGAATGTATCAAAAGCGCACTGAAACACATCAAAAACGCGCTTGTGGAAACGCATTCGGAACTCATCTGGACAGTGGTTCTCTGGTGGGAACCGGCCCATATTGTTCTCTGTTTTCAGCTACAACCAGATTAGGAACATTTCACGGGTGACACTGCCAGTAAAACATTCCATGAAAATTCAAACAAAACATTATTTCAGCCTTTTATCAACCAATCGGTGATCAGCATGTAGCAGCTCACCGCACATGCTAATGAAAGCTGCTTTCTGATTGGCCATGGAGGCTTTCTGTACATCTCTGCTCTTTGCATTGTTATTAATAAATTAACGATCATGTGGAAGAATGATTTCATATCACTGTTATTATTCAGGATTCAGCCCGGGTTCACATACATGCGGTGCTGTAAATCGCATGTGATTTGCACAGGAACCGCACTGCATTCCCTGCTGATCACATGTGATTTGTGTGCAGTGCGATCGGAGGCGTACATTATGTATGGCTCTATTCGCACCGCACCAAAAAGGTGCTGGACCCTTTTATGGATCCCCACTAGAATCGGATCGCACGGGTATTCACACCTATGCGATTCGATTCTGCAGATCGCACCGCGTTTTGTAGACCGCTTTCGGGGTGTTGTTAACTTGACACACACACTGCATCGGTTCGCATGAACGGGGTGCGATTCTGATGCAGAGCGGAATTCACACAGAAAACGCTGAGAATTCCGCACCGCATCAGTGTGAACACCGGCTTGTATAGCGCCAACAGTTTGCTCAGCTCTTTACAATATAATGGGAGACAATACAATTACAAGACAGTTCAACACTAATTAACCTCTTGCTGACCACAGATAGCGGAATGGCGGCTTCACTGCGACCGGCCAGTTCTGGCTGGAAGTTATATGACGTCAGGGGTGGACTGACCATTTGGAAACTCGGGCACTGCCTGAGGGTCCGGGGTCAGTAGGGGGCCCCATGAGATGCCCCTGGTACCTTTCTCATAGGCTTTTTTCAGTCTGGGCAAGGACACAGGGGCCCCATGATCTCCTATTGCCCGGGGGCCCCATGAGTTGCCAGTCCGCCCCTGTATGACGTCCTCTCCTGTGAGCCCCCGGCGATCTCTATGATCGCTGTGTCCTACGGACACAGCTGATCACGTGGTATGGTAAAAGGCCAATCACAGCAGCCTTTTACCTTGTGATCAGCCGTCTCCAATGACACACTGATCACTGGGAAATGCAATTGTCACAGCGTGAGGAAAGTACTGCCGAGAACCGGCAGTTGTCACAGGAGGGATCAGCACTGATGATCAGTGTCCTGATGATCGGTGCTCATCAGTGTGACCCACGAGTGCCGCCCACAAGTGCCCAGCAGTGCCACCCACCTGTGCCCACCAATGCCACCACCTGTTCCCATCAGTGCAGCCCAGCAGTGCCATCCATCAGTGCTGTCAGTCAGTGCCCAGCAGTGCCGCCTATCAGTGCCCATCAGTGCTGCCTATCAGTGCCCATCAGTGCTGCCTATCCCTGACACCTCATCAGTGCCGCCTATCCCTGACACCTCATCAGTGCCGCCTATTCGTTGCCACCTCATCAGTGCCCATCAGTACCGCCTATTAGTGCCACCTATCCATGCCACCTATCAGTGCCACCTCATCAGTGCAGCCTCATCAACGCACATCAGTGAAGGAGAAAAATTACCTGTTTGCGAAATTTTATAATAGAAACAAAAGAAAAACCAAATTTTTTGCTTTTTTTTAGTTTATAGCGCAAAAAGTAAAAACACCCAGCAGCAAGTAAATACCACCAAAAGAAAGCTCTATTTATGTGAAAAAAATGCAAAACATTTCATATGGGAGACAGTGTTGCAGACTGCCATTTGTCATTCAAAGTGTGACAGCGCTGAAAGCTGAAAATTGGCCTGGGCAGGAAGGGGGGTAGAAGTGTCCTGTAGGCAGGAAGGGGGTAGAAGTGCCCTGTAGGCAGGAAGGGGGGTAGAATGTCCTGTAGGCAGGAAGGGGGTAGAAGCGTCCTGTGGGCAGGAAGGGGGTAGAAAGCGCCCGGTAGGCAGGAAGGGGGTAGAAGCGCCCGGTAGGCAGGAAGGGGGTAGAAGCGCCCGGTAGGCAGGAAGGGGGTAGAAGTGCCCTGTAGGCAGGAAGGGGGTAGAAGCGCCCGGTAGGCAGGAAGGGGGTAGAAGTGCCCGGAAGGCAGGAAGGGGGTAGAAGTGCCCTGTAGGCAGGAAGGGGGTAGAAGCGCCCTGTAGGCAGGAAGGGGGTAGAAGTGCCCGGTAGGCAGGAAGGGGGTAGAAGTGCCCGGTAGGCAGGAAGGGGGTAGAAGTGCCCGGTAGGCGAGGGTTAATAAGCAGAAACACGTAATTGAAGATTTTCATATAAAAATACATTTGTAGTATAAAATATAAGGGAAAAAAGATTTACTGCTGGTCACACCTGTGCAATTTCAGATGCGATTTGCGAATTGAAATCGCATCAAATGAATGTCAGTGTTTTAACAAGCACGATTTGCTGCAGCACGATTCCTAAAGAAGTACTTGCATGACTTTTTCTGCAGTTTTGTTGCGATTTCACATACATAGAATATAATTGAAATTGCAAGAAATTGTTGAAAATCTTCACAAGTAGCAATAAAGTCTTCAGAAATCGCACCTGAAACTGCACACAAATCGCAGCAGTGGGACTGGTGACTTAAAGCTGAACTCTGGACACAAAAAAAAAACGTTCATTTAAATATATTCCTCAGAAGGCACAAAGGATATAAATCCACTCTGAGCACCAAATGGCTTTGTAAACCCAGATATGACCTTGTAAAAGTAGCAGTGACATCATCACTGTGCTTTACATAGTCTGGGCAGAGAGCAGAATTGTGGGAGGGACCCAGCAGACTCCACCTACTACAGGCTGCCTGCAGAAAACAGAAGGGGGCGGAGACAAGACCAATCACCCTAAACAAAGAAGGAAAAAGAGCTATGGGAGGGGCCTACCAGACTCCTCCTACTACAGCCTGCTTGCAGGAGGGGGCGGAGACAAGACCAGTCACCCTACACAAGGAAAAGAAAAACAGCTATGGGAGGGGCTCCACCTACTACAGGCTGCCTGCAGAAAACTATAAGAGGGGGCGGAGACAAGACAATCACCCTACACAAGGAAGGAAAAAGCAGAGCTAAGGGAGGGGCCTAGCAGACTCCACCTACTACAGGCTGCCTGCAGAAAACTACAGCAGGGGCGGAGACAAGACCAATCACCCTACACAAGGAAGGAAAAAGCAGAGCTATGGGAGGGGCCTAGCAGACTCCACCTACTACAGGCTGCCTGCAGAAAACTACAGCAGGGGGCGGAGACAAGACCAATCACCCTACACAAGGAAGGAAAAAGCAGAGCTAAGGGAGGGGCCTAGCAGACTCCACCTACTACAGGCTGCCTGCAGAAAACTACAGCAGGGGCGGAGACAAGACCAATCACCCTACACAAGGAAGGAAAAAGCAGAGCTATGGGAGGGGCCTAGCAGATTCCACAAACTACAGGCTGCTTGCAGAAAACTACAGCAGGGGGTGGAGACAAGACTAGTCACCCTGCACAAGGAAGGGAAAAGCAGAGTTATGGGAGGGGTCTAGCAGACTCCACCTACTACAGGCTGCCTGCAGAAAACTACAGGAGGGGCGGAGACAAGGCCAGTCAATCTACGCAAGGAGGAGAGAACAAACAGAGCTATGGGAGCTGCCTAGCAGACTCCACCCACTGCAGGATGCCTGCAGAAAAGAACAGGAGGGGCAGAGACCAGACCAGTCACTCTGCACAAAGAGAGAGCATCAGTGAGCGGTCGTTAGTCCAGGAAGCCTCACACTGGATGACGCCACAGATCTGGAAGAAACACACAAATCACACCGAGAGTCAAGAAGAAGACGCAGGACCGATGGATTTAGCCCATATTTTCTTATCCCGGAGTTCAGCTTCAAAGTAGTACAGTGGGGCAGGGGCAGATATTTTCCAACGCACAGCTGATTTTCCTGTCCTGTCCAGACAGAAAATGTGGAACATTATGTTTCCTGTGCAGATGTGGAACACAATACTGTGAATCATCTGACAATATTTCTGGCGCAGACATTCCTTTTTATCTCCAGCCGCCTTGGCTGTTCGTGTGAGAAACAGCCGGCGTGTCAGCGTAATCTGGATCTGGATCGGCTCCAGGTGAGGATTCCCTGACAAGACAAGTACAGCTACCTTATCAGGTAGGATGGTTCACCCTGCAAGGGCCTCCCAGCTGCTCCGGGTGGCTGGAGTAGAAACACAACGCAACAACATGTCTTCTCCAGGTCATGCGTACGTTTATATCACGATGATATTGTCCCTCGAAACAGGTGCAGGCTTCTCCCCTTAACAAATATCAAATCTACAGTCCGCCAAATAAGAAGCCTCTTTTCATAAAAAGCAGCCTGGCAGCTAATATTG